GCTCGGTACAACATATGCCTGTGAGGTATTCGCATTCGACAAAATCCAAAAGGGCAGTGTAGCTATGAACGAATCAATCGTGCGAGTGCGAGTCCGATTTCCGAACCTCAACACCTCGGAATTGTGTCAAGAACAGCGTGCAGCCCGATGTGTACTGTATTCATAAACAAAAGGTTGTAAACTAAACCCGAGGACTCCGGGACGCCCGACTGAGTTTCATGTCGACCCTCACCAATTGTGCTAGGCGTCTGCGGAGCCCGACCTCATTCTCGTTACCCGCCATCGCCGCTTCGTGTTCATCGACTGTCGGGCGGATCCAAACCAGATCAGCGTGCTCGGGCCTGACGAACTGAGTGCGCTTGAGGATCTTCCAGCCGCAGAACAGACAGATCGCAAGAAATCCCATGGTGTAATTGCTGAAGAAGATGCCAATATCCCACCGGCCCCGTAAGAAGATGGCATACCCATAGAAGATCTCCACCGCCATAAGCCAGACCAAAGCAACCCAAGTGCCGTAAGGCTGGAGATATCCGCGGTAGGGGAGATCGGATCTGTTGAAGTTCTGGGCTTTCAAAGCTCGGTAGAAGAAGAGATAGTTGATGCAAATGACGATGTAGGTCACCAAAGTCCCGCCAGTGATGAGGTTTGTGAGCCTTTGAAGGTCAACTCATGTTAGTGCATCCAGCACATTATCTTTGGAACAGGCCGCAGTGAAGATGGATCATCAACTTACCAAGTCAAAACCTTCACGGAGCCACTGCCCAACTTGAGAAACGAGAGACAGGCAAAGGCGAGTGCAACAAATAGGCAGTAGATGGGAACACCTTGCTTGGTGCATTTTGTAAGAAACTTTGGAGCGTGGCCATTCAATGCCAACCCATAAAGACTCCGAGAAGAGCAGTACACGTAGGCGTTACCGGCCGAATAGATACTCGTCAACAGAAGAGCGTTGACAAAGTGGGGTAGCACACCAACGTTCATGTTCTTCATGGCAATGACGAAAGGTGAGGCGGCTCCGGTACCCGTCTCGCCAGAGCTTAGGACACTCAGGAGTGTCGGATCGTTGGCCGGCAAGACGATGCCAACACACAACGCGCCGCCAATGAAAAAGAGCCCGAATCGCCAGTACACGGACTTGAAGGCTGCTTTCATGGTTGTGCGTGGCCGCTGCGCTTCGCCAGCAACGGTGGCAAGGTATTCGGGGCCGACAATGGTGAAAGCAGCTTGCCATAGTGCGGCGAGAAACCCATGGAAGCGGCCCAAGTCACCATCGTCAATGTACTCAACAAAAGGGCCCTGTTCTTAAGTAAGCGATTTACGATACAACATCGACAGGCGTGAAGGAGGTCATGGTGTCATACAGGCTTGGACCAATTACGGAATCCGTATGCATCACGCTGCGGATTACCTCCAACCATGGTGATGAAGGTAAAGAAGAACAGTATCCCGATGAGGAGAAGTTTACCCCCTGCGAGCCAAAACTCTGTTTCACCAAAGTACTTGACCATGAGTGCATTGCAAAGGCTGGCCGGGGGCAGTTTAGTAGGATATCCTTCGAATCCAACTGCCAAGATAGTACATACGCGTAGAGCACAATGCAAACGGTAATAACCGCAGCTGAAGGGATGTCGTCTCTCCAAAAGGTCAAGACCATGTCCAAAGCGGTGATCTCAAATGGTATGAGAAGCGCTTCGAACAGGAAGAAGTTCCAGCCGATCATGAAACCCCAGGCGTCATCAACCCAGGCACTGGCGTGATGGATGAATGCAGCGCTTATGGGCATGAAGACGGTCATCTCTGCAAGTGAGTTGTTGACTTGGGCAATAACCAAGGCGTGGAGCACGAATGCAATAAGTAGACTTGCCGCTCCTCGCATGAGCCCGTACCCGATGCTGACAAAAAGGGCAGTCCCAATAGAGCCACCGATAGCTACGAACTGGACTTGACGCGGAGTAAGATGTCGTTGCAAATGGTCGGGTGTGTGTAAGATTTCACCGTTGACAACTTCAGTCTTGTCACTGGTTTTGGAATCCATCTTTGTGACCGAGGCCTTTGGCTCTAAGGCGATTGACGGGAAGCTCATGTTGCCCAGCAAAGCAGAGTTGGCACAATGCTGATGCTGATACGACAAATTTTGAGATACTTCGGATCTAGAGATGTCTGGAGCAGCTTTGAAATGAAGAGTATGTGAAGTTTGAATGGCAGACGTCTTGAACTAGGGGGCTCATCAGCTTAAGTATACCAGGAAATCTTAGCGCGGGCCATCGAATGTCACTGAGAACAAGGAAGAGATTTAGGAGGACCTATCAATATTTGCCAATTACACCCTACCCCGGATTGGTCCCATCGTTTTCGACACGCAATGCTCGGACGCTAGGCATAATTTCGGGCATGGGTTCAAGGTGATATGCCTGGTTCACCGAGGACTCCACGTATCTGACTAGTATTCTTGTCCGCCTCTCTAACCCCGCGAGAAGGCACATGGATTGCTCCAGTACCTTTCTTGCAATACTCTGGCTTACATTTGCGACTAGTGTGGATTTCCGTCTCGGGACTTGTTTGATGGCAGCTTCTCGCACACTAAAGTCCCAAGTGGAAGATGGGCAAGCTACATGCTCTACCGAGAAAGGATTTGCTAGCCTTGTGTGGGGTAAGAAGCTGAGGACAGACGGGGATGCACAATCCATTAGATCTAGCTTTAAACTATGATCGCTTTGTGGAAAGTCCCCATTTGGAAGATCTAGCCGGTAGGTGTGGGAATTGGCGGCTACACCTAGTCTCGGGTGACATGGGTCGGGTAGCCGTTGTTGACTCCAGGCGACAGATCCGGTATCATTGACCTCGACTACAGACGATAGGTCCTTGGCCTCTCGAACAATAATGGGAGATAGTGACTATGATGGACTCTTTGATAACATGTTCGTAATGTTGTACTTTCGGGGTCCACGCCGGAAGCATCTTCATTTGGATGCCCGGGCCTATGGGTTGTCATAAGACACACGACACAAATACAAGGAGCCCCGACCGATCATTCTACTCATCGGATGCCCTCGCAAATCAAACAAATTATCCAACGCCAAGATTAAAGAGACGCAATGCAGGACTCTGAACTCCAAGAGATCTCGTCGGCTTTTCGAGCTGCCCGTATCAGCAAAGAGCCGATCGATCCCCCAACCAAGAAGTGGACAAGTCTCGATCCTGATAGCGCTTTTGAGGTTCAAAAAGTCACCGTCAAGAACGCCGTCAGTCAAGATGGCGACAGAGTCGTTGGATATAAGCTGGGTAACATCGCGAAGGTCATGCAAGACGCCTTTGGCCTCGACCAACCCGACTATGGCTTCCTCCTCGCGAGCACTTTCATCTACGAGGGAACGACTCTGAGCCTCAAGGATTTTATCAAGCCTTATGTCGAGCTTGAGCCAGCTTTCATCCTCAAAGGCCCTCTGAGAGGCCCAAATGTCACCGTCGCCGACGTCATCAACGCCATAGACTACGCCATCCCCGCGATAGAGATTATCGACTCCAGGGTACGAGACTGGGCCATTGACCTCCCGGACACACTGGCTGATAACGGATCAACCGGCGCCGTCATCCTAGGTGGTACGCCTCGCCGACTTACCGATCTCACCTTGAGCAACACGAGAGGGATGCTACGTTTCAATGATAAGGAGGTCATGTCGGGTAACACCAGAAACGTACTCGGTAATCCACTGTCCGCAGTGGCCTGGCTAGCGAATAAACTTGCAAAGTACGACGTTGGGTTCGATGCAGGGCAGGTTATCCTGCCTGGTAGCTGCCTGCAAGCAGTGCCAATGCAAGAAGCTGGTCGCTGGTCTTGTACGTTTGAGGGATGGGGGACTGTCGAGTTCGATGTCGCTAAATAGATGTCATTGTGTCAAATTGGCAGGCAGGAATCAAGTGCATGAAGTCTTCTCGACAGATATTCGTAGAAATTTGCAGTTATTTGATTACAGCCAGTAGACACGAATTCACATCCAAATTCATGCACACAGTCCACCTCCCACCAGAACGCCTGAGGAATTCGTTTAAGCGTGACCTGCCGCCAGACTCGCCGTAAACTTACCCGGCATAAGTTGGCAAAGGACCTCCGGATACGAGAGATCCGCTCCCTGCGAAAGTGGTGCTTGTCAAGAAACACAGAGTCACGGGGGCTTGTGGTTGAACTTAGACGTAGTCCAGACCTACCCGGAAGTGGTTAGCAAAAAGAGAGACAAACCTAAGATAGTGAACAGATACGCTGTTCCGAATCCTGATAAGTCACCCGACGCCTTGGAAGCCGAGCCGATCCCTGCTCCCGATCCCTGTAAACTAAGTCGGGTAACTAAAGTAGCTCAATGCTGGAGACCCAAATACAATCAATGGCTGTCATCCCGATCGCTTCCAAAGATAGCCCGCATAGACCCTACATGTAAATCTACCAATTTACCGAGTATTTCAGACCTAATCCCGTGATTGCTACGGATATCTTGAACTGAAAAGAAATGGCAGACGTGCCGGAGTCGAACTTAACTCATAAGACTAGCGACGGCATCATCAAAATGATGAAGAACTGAGCTCCATCCAGCAGCTCTCCCGGCCCCATCCCCGAGAGCCATCCTTTTACAAAAACCGGAGGAATTCTCAGCCAAACAATAGGTACAACATAGGATTACTGACAGCCCGTCCACTCTCTGAGAGCCCCAATCACTCACTGAATATGCTGCTGTGGTAGTCTTGAATGCCAATTCCGGCTGCATCCTTGAGCTGCCACTCGTTAGCCGTAAACGCTGCTAACAACTGAGCTTATTCCCTAATACTGTTGTGATGATTTTGCGGGGTAAAATGCATGTTACCCCGCCTCCCGGCAAGCCCTGCCTGTCCAGTCCTAGCCCCTAGTCATACGACACTACCGGACACTATCTGATGTGTGGATGGCTGACGTTGTCGACCTCACTGTCATCTTGGCTTTCGTGATACGTTCGCTACCTTGCAAATGAAGTCGATAACATGTCTTGAGTTACAACCTCATCCTCACAGCCTCTGCATCCAGACTTGCGCAGTTTTGCACCCTGGAAAATGTCGCCCGCAAGCAGAGGAACTGGAGACTCCGAAAGAAGGAAGCTAAGGCGAACGACAAACGCGTAAATCCCAATCCTTGTACCGATATCCTATGGGTGGAAGGGTCCACTGACCATATGCTAGATGTATTAGCTGTCGACAAAGTAAGATCAAATGCTCCGGCGAAGAGCCGTGCGCAAATTGCCAGCGGCGTTTAATGAAATGCGAGTACTCGGAAGGAACAAACATCACGGTCAATACCGACAGGTCTGTAAAGGAATTCGAGATCTTACGACTTCAAGTCTGATGAAGCCTCTAGAAGGAGTTCAGGGCGGCGAAGACATGGCTCAGAACAACAATCGACACCAGGAAGCAAGCGATCTCGCGGTGCAGCGTTTGGATCCGGTGACGAAGACTGTAGTGAGTAAACCAAAGCTCCTTTTCGAACCTGTGATTATGAGCTAATTCATGAGTTTCAGATTCTCAGTCAGTTGAGTGTCGGTCATCTCAGTTGCATGACTCTTCTGAGTGCGTGTACACGAGCCCTTTCACCTTGCCCTCTACGACCATCAAGAACACCCACAAGAACAAACGTAACTGGAGTAAGTGAAGGTCTAAGGTTGAATTGGCAGTCCTACTGACAAGCCGTGCGTGAATAGTTTGGCTGGCTCCATCGTCAACATGGTCTTTCACAGCCCGTCTCACCCTAATGATGGCTGAGAGACTCCAGGTTGAAACCCCATTCAGTGCACCTAGCTTTCTCAATGACGAAATATATCCCTTAAGGTGGAAAGCCTCGACGGTAGATGGACAACCAGACATCAGTGGACTTCCTTCCATTGACCATGCTATCTATCTCTTCAACACCGTAAAATTCCATCTTGGTCAGAATTATCAACTTATTGACGAGACAAATTTTGTCAAGCATCTAGAAGAATTCTACTACGGCCTGGCATCTAAGAAAGCGGCAGAGTCACCCTTATGGTTTGTACAATTCTTACTTGTCTTATCTTTTGGGCAAGCTTTCCTTTCACGGTCAAAGGATTCAAAGGAGCCGCCCGGTGCAAAGTTCTTCGTTCGCGCCATGGCGCTACTACCAGAGCCGAACGCACTGTGGAAAGATAGTTTGCTAGCCATCGAGGTGTTGGCCCTTGCAGGTCTCTATTTGTATTCGATTTATCAGAGGGAGTCTGCTCAACTATACGTGAGTTTTCATCATCTTGCCTGTTCAATCGAACGCTTCATAACTCAACTAATCCAATTTGACAGATTGCGCAAGCGATTCGGATTGCTCAACTAGAGGGGTTACATACCCAACTTCCTGAGGATGCACTCGGGACACAAACAGTTGCTCGTTGCCGCAATCTCTGGTGGACTTTGTACATTATGGATCGACATTTCTCCTGCTCTGTCGGAGTCCCTATGAATACTCAAGACGCAGACATTACCACTGTGCTCGACCCCCCGAGTATATGCTCCCAGCGTGACGCAACGCTTGGTCTCCAAGTCAAACTCTCGCGTTTGCTATCATCAATCATTACTAGTCAGTCCCATCTAGTTCTCACAGAGATTTGTGCTGATATTTCGGCTTTGAAGCTATCTACAGGTCCGAGAAGACTCCACTTGGGGAGTTCCTCACTTCGACAAAGTCCATTCTTCATGCCTTGGCTGGTCACGCACAGGAGATTGAGAAGATCACTCGATTCAAGTTCCAAAACTCGGTGGATGCCATGCCGAAAGGAACCAGAAGCATTACCTTGCTATACCATCAGGTGAGCTGTTGCGTTCATTCACTCAGTCATCTTCCGACTGACAATAGTCTTCTTGTAGTGTGTTATCATGGCTACGAGGCCACTCTTTCTATCCGCCTTGAAACAAGAGCTCGAAAACTTTGGATGGGGTGGAAGAGACCCACAAACCTTCTCAGCTCCCTTGAAGACTCTGGTCGAGACGGGCATTAAATCAGCAGTGAAGAGTCTTCAAGTCCTGTCTGGGGATGATAGTCTATTAGGTAAGTATGAGCACAATCTGACCCTCTGATCCTTCACCAAATTCCAACTAATCGTCAAACCACCAACAGAAGTCTTCCTACCATTTGAGTTAGAATATGCTTATGGAGCTGCCATACACTTGATAATGGCCAAGGCACTCTTCCCAACGGTAATAGGCGATGATGGACTTTTCCAGATGGAGCAGACACACAACATATTGGATGACATGATGAGCAAAGGAAACTTGGTGGCAGAGGTTCGAAAAGCAGAGTTGGTCCATTTGGAGACTTTGTTTCGCGAATTCACGCGGCGGGTACGCGACCAAGACTTTGAAGACCGTATCCATTCAACTACTAGAAGGCGTCAGTACATCCGTTCCCAACCTTTGTCCCAGCTCTCGTCTTTTTCCACTTCTCTGTCTATCTCTGAACTAAAATTGGAGTGTATGGGGGAAATGGAGTCAGACAGAAATAACTCGTTACAACCCTTTAGCAAAGTACGCCCACATATACTGACACCATCTAACAGTAAGTGGGATACCATCGGGCTCAATTGAAGCAATCATCGATCCGATCACAACTCAAACTTTTGTCAACGAACCTGACTTGGTAGCTACGACGACAGTGAGTGAGTCGCAGCCGCTTGCGAGCGTGTTTTCGGATACACCAGATAACACCGAGTTTCTCGAGACTATTGGTATCTCATCGGATGATTTCCTATCAATTGTGGAACAGATGGGAGACGAAGATGATCTTCCATTCTCAATGCTGGACTTGGGACACTTTTGGAAGTGATCAGTGGCGCCCAGGAGGCAGGAGCTTCTATGTTCGCAGGTGGGTATCACAACGGACCAGACTCTGTTGGACTAGTTCCTCAGTCTCATTGTACAATACATTATTGATTAACACCATCTTCATCACTACAAAGGCCCTTAATCGCTATAACTTAAAGTATTCGTTCATTGCGTCCTTGATCGTATACCCTGGTGAATTACCAACCCGTGTGATAATATCCGTCCCAACTTTGATGATGCTGAACGTGGGGTTGTTGCATGTTAACTGGCTGATACACAGGGCTGTGTTGGTATCCAGAGTTCTGCTGCCACATGGGCGTTTGCACCTGTCCAGGAGTCGCTGGTGAAGATAACGTTGTGGATACAGACATTGCCGACATGGTAGAGGCATGCTTCATGTCGTACATCGAACCTCTGTCGAGGAGAGGTACTCCCATGTTCTGGTCAGGTTGCGTGACATGGGTCGCATGGTAGTCGGCAGGCATATGCCCTGACAGACCCTCCTCAAGTCCGACTAGGTGGTCAGTCAGTAACGTACGTAGACAGCAGCATCCCGCTGTAGACTTACAGATCAGTATGTATAGCAGCTCAGCGATGACTGGTACCCAAGCTGCCAGGGCCAGAACTTGTCCAAACGTCCACTTGTCGTTCTTGTCAATGCCATCAGCCGCGTTGATGATCTTCTGGCGGAAGTGAGTGAAGTAGCCTAGTATCCCCCACATGACCAGCAAGTTAATCCAGGCAACCAGCATTCGCCAACAAGACCTCCATCTCTTGACCCACGGCTTATCAATCATGCCTGGAATCTTAAATCCAGTGGTCACAAACAGCGTTAGGAGGAGCCATATCATCGGCAGCGCAATGACCAAGAACTGCGTGGCTTTGACGACGGGCCAGTACTGCGAGCCACGTTGATCGCAGTCGAAGTTTCTGTGTCCACTCTTTCGTTCCTTGTAGTCTATCTCTGCCCTTGGCGCCAGATACACCACAGTCACGCTCAAGCCCCAAAGCAGGCCAAGGACAGATCGATGAAGCCACTTGCGATGGCCATCGTGCTTGGCTAGCGCGTAGAGCAACATTACCGGGAAGACAGAGTAGTTGGACGCGATTAGTGCCAAGGCTTGCTCGTAAATCGCATCTGCTGATGGGAGGTCGGGGTTGATCTCCGATCTCTCCTTGAAGTTTGTAGCGGCCGAGTATACGGAAGCTCCCAGCATGGCCACTGCGATCAGCATTGAGCCGCTGAGGAACATGTCGAGCGATCCGCGAAACGAGTCGAGGATGCGACCGCTCAGTCTTTGTTTTTGCTTCGGTCGCGTCTTCTCCCAGAGGTTCTTGTTGAAGTGGCGTCGTACTTGATGAATCGTGAATGCGACGAGGTACATCGTTGCTAAGATAGCTTCGAGGTAGTAGGATACCACCACCTTCACTTTGTTAGCCAAGAGATCTTTGCACAGCCTAGCGACTTCAGGTGTTCTGTTCTTACCCCAATACCGCAGAGATCTTGACTTCCTGTATATCCGACGGCCTTGCAGAATTCGGCCTCACAATGCTCCTTTGGGCCCCATAGAACGGTTTCATTGAATCGTGTGCTGAAAAGATAGTATGTGGGATCGCTCGAGTTTTCCGGGTATGGTGTATGATACATATTGTAGGCGAACCAGTATGATACGTCGGAGTAGGTAGTTTCGTATCCCTTCGGCATAGCCGTCGAGTACAGTGTCATTGACAGCTGAACACTCATTCCTCGAGTCGACTTTGGATCCCAAGGGTCAGGTTGAAGCATGGCAGCCAGCCATTGGCCCCAGTTCGTGCAGTTGCGGTTGAAGTCCAGTTGCTCCCAGGTCAGGTTCCCAGAGCCTTTGACCTCCGTACCCGGAACCCAAAGGTCCATGGTCTCGGGATCGTAAGAACTCATTGTCGAGTGGAGGCGGCGGCTCTCACGCCTGTTCAAAGTATCTCTTCACGACAACTGAACGTAATGTGCAAGAAACTGTGGATTTGAGTGGGGGACAAGCAGCCATCGATGGCGCGGGGCACAGAGACATTCTTAAGGCTGGCATGATCAGGATATTCAAAGTTGCTGCCCATTCTGGCGGCCACAATCTCCGTCTAACAGCCGCACCCTTTCTTTATCGTGGGCGTCTGGGAATGGGCTCTGAGAATGGGCCGGTTCGACGCAGCTGAGCGCCAGGGCTGACAGCTAAGACAGATAAGGAACGAATCATCGCGACTAAATTACTACGCGGGATGACTAGCGTAAGCCACCATCCCCAAAGCGACTTACGAGCTGCCACACCTAGCACGTTTCCAATAAGGCTGGCCATTCACTGCATTCTCAGACCGCCATCTCGCTTGCGAAATCTCCGCTAACGGGGGTTGGGCAGGGAGCTGTGGGAGCTAGACGTTGGGGGCCGGGGGAAGTTTGTTGTTGCCTACGGCTAGAGCTCGGTCTTTGATTCAGAACCGCTCTTCGGGGTCGCTTTTTGCGGTCGCAATGGGCGGGAAAGAGTCTTATTTGCACGGCATGACATTTCCATTGTATTGGGCTGTTGTCCCTATCGATCGACGAGGCTGCCAATCTTCATGCTAGCTGCGATGCTGTGTCTGTACGTGTCTTTGCCAGTTGAATTTCCGCTTGATACCGACACCCTTCTCTTGAGAATACTTGCATCCGGCGAACGGGCAGAAATAAACCTCACCCCCCGAATGCTGCTCTCTGAAGTGTCGGTCGAGGTCTTTGCTGTATCGGAAAGCCCAAGAACAGTCTCCCTCTCTACACTTGAACGGCTTCTTATGCTTGATCTTACAGCGACTGCGTACAGGTCAGCACCGAGGTTTTTTTCATGTCGGCAGTCTGAGGATGACATACTTCACCTCCCAAGGCCTTGCGTAAACACTCCCACACTCGTCACATCGTAGTTCAGTTGGCTCCGTGGCTTCAGCGCTCTGAACAGTGCTGAAGGCGGTCTGTTCCGAGCCTGACTGGCTGCCATGCTCGTGTTCTTCTTGGTTTTGTTCCAGTAGAGACGGACTCGGGGCACCTGCCCCATATTCCGGAGATGAATTTGGCTCATTGTTACTCTGCTCCCCATCCTGCTCAACAGGCTGAGGTAAACTTGACGATATACCCCAGTCATAGTCACCTAGCGGCCCACCACTTCCGGTCTTTACCCACGACGGATCTACGGTCTCAAAGCGATGATGATAATGTTCGTTTGTTTGACCGGTCGAGCCTTGCGAGGTCGAACTAGATATGTAGACGGACTACCAAACGATTTGAAGGAGTATTGAGCCTGTTGAGAAAATCTGACGGTAAGAGCAGAGTTCCTATGGCCAAAAGGAGAGAGCTAGAAAAGAGAGAAGGAACGGACGGCGAAAGTTGAAAAGAACGAGTGGCTTAGCACCACCGTGCCGGCCGTGACAAGAAGAGTGAAAATAAAGTGAGTCCTCGAGGGAGGAGAGCTGTTTTATGCTCAAGAGTGCGTTCATAAAGCGGCAAGTGCTCAATGGACTGGCAATTGGGCTCTGCTGGGCCATCCATGTCATTGGTCCCGAACAGCTGTAGGCCTCAACTCTAAATGAGGCACCATCTCTCATCGCCCTGCAGCCCGAAGGTATGCATTGCACAGGCTTCATCCGATAACAAGTTTTGAGGCAGTAGACTTCAAGCTATCCTGGCTCATGGGTCTGGTCTTACCATCTGGCAACCTACTTTGCCCCTGGGAGTGAGGACCGCCATCAACAAAGGCTCGACTGAACAGTCAGAAGTAAAATTGCTGCTGGTTATGAAGAGCCGGAACACGTATTCTTGTGTATCACTTCAAGGCCATGTAATGACGTATTTCCTTCTACTTGCTTCAGTAAGTATGATGTTTCCACAGTTTCAGCGGGAACTAAGGTATACCACCAGGGTCGATGCAGCTGGAAACGAAGAACCCTAACGGTGTGATTTATGCGCCACTTAAACCGGTGCCTGGTCCGCCAATGCCTAGCCCAAAGTCTCCCGGCTATGCTGATTGAGAGCTAAATTCGTGACTGTAAATGTGAAGAAGGCTATGAGCAAGGCTAATAGCGTAAACGGCCGTTTTGTGTAACCAGCGATCGGTCATGATAGCGTGGGCATATTCTCAAGGCTGACTCGGAATATGATTGAGCTACTTGGTATAGTATCACAGCCTAGCTTTGCGCCATGGCTGAAGTGAGGCCATACTATAACTTTAAAGGTATGTGAAAAGAATGGCACACGATGTGGCTGTTTCATTAGCCGGGCGCTAAAGTAGGCTATTATCCGTCACATCTTCAGTCGAGTCGAGACTAAACATGCAATTGAGATGTGAACTGTTCTATTCGTAATGAGTATCTTTGCAGGCCGAATTCGACAAGTAGAGGCCGACAATTTCTTGTGTTGCCCCAGCTAGTATGTGAACCTCTCTCAAAGCGAAGACCGTATTGTCTATAGTCAACACCGGATGAGGGCTTACCTCAACACAATATCAGCTTGATGCAAACCTTTCGAGCATTCAAAGGCACATGAAGTAACATTCAGTCCCTAAGACCGGCATTCAAAGGCTTTTAGCTCCTGGACTTGGCAAGGTATCACGACTGATCATTTTAGTTGGGCTAGGTACAAAGAGAAACTGCAACGAGTAATTCCTATGTCTTCGACCACGTGAAAGCGAGCATGACATTTGAACTGAGAAAGATGAAATCCTCGCATTGCGAATCAAGTTTCTTGTCTTGTAGAAGCAGCGAACAAAGAACATTACCGGACTTTCTTCATGAACTTTCTGCCTCTGTCTAGACAAATTCTTCTCCAAGGGCTATGATCATAAAACATTGTCTTACATTCAACTGTCACAAAGCATTTGTTTGATATCTTCAAATCTTGGTTTTTTCACCATTGATACTGGTGTCGCTCATCTAATCCAACTTAGATAATAGAGATCAAACTTGACAATTTACATAACCCTGGCAACTTCTTACATGAAATAGCTCCCTACTTGGATAATATCAATATCACCTCCTCAAAGAAGTAACCGCAGTTACCGTGACGCTCACTTAGAACCCACGACTTCTCAACTTTTGCATAAACCCTCAAAATGGCGCCTCATACCGAAGACTCTTCATCTGTTGCTGAATACGCCGAGCGCGTATTCCAACACCTAGAAGACAACCGCCCCTCTGACGCACCTGCCGATTTCTCAGATCCCCGACCAGAGAAGTCCAATGCCATTCAGCGATCAAAGACTGAGAGAATCAAGGCCCAGTTGATTCAGCGCAATAACGATGCCTCTGTTGTGTCTCAATCTCGTTCCAAATCTGGTAAGTTCCGCCTCCAACACACTAGTTCCTTCGGCGACGGTCGTGTAAAGGAGCTCGTTGCCAACTACGAAGCTCGATCTCATCGTGACGAGGAGACAGGTAAAGAATCTGTTCGACGCAAGCGCGTGCTTGCAAAGGATACAGATGCCGCAACTGGTAGTGAAAGTGAGGAGGATGAGAAGGATTGGATCAAGGTCGTTGATGCGGACTTAGAGTGAGCGGAAGGCTATCCTGATGCTTTTGGACTATGTTACAGGCATTCGAGCTTCTAGCGTGTTATTTAGTTGACTTTCAATCATTCTAGAAGGTTAAGGAATCATTTCCTCTTTACTTGAGAAACCACAAGCTTAGTCATGACTACAAGAGTCCGGAGATTGATCTGAATAGCTATTTTGGAAAAGCCTTGTCGACCTACTCCTCCTAGGCTTTCTATGACTTGTAGGCCATGTTCACTACTCTAGTTTGGCCCACTGTCGTCTCTGCGGAACATGGATCTCTTGGCTCTTAATGTGACTAACCGGGCATTGCATTTCGAGGGACCAGGCAGACAAGCAGTAAAGCATGTAAGCATCTTCTCCTTCATATTCTGCAGCTGACATCGAAGCACCCTGTTCTCTCCATCAAGATAGCTTGAGGTACAGAGCACGTGAGCTATCTTCAGAAAGTGGGAGAATTGAAGCATGCCGAGTTTGTAGGTATCTGAACATGATGTCAGAAGGATTGACTTTACCTTACGCACTGGCCTGGCGACTTTGTGCCTGAGACCCTAGACCCTAGGCTGACATGTATTTGAGACGACAAATCACAAAGGGCTTGTACTTGGTGTTGCTAGACAACAAGGCTACTCAAAGAACTACGGGACACAACGTAGGTCCCCTTGTCGGTTGTCTACTATATGCCTTTCTTCAGCATAGCTGTCTGCCTCATTTGCTGTCCTGAAGCTTCCTATGACTTCTTGGGGGCTCTTGAACTTGGCTTAATTATATACGTAGTACTATATAGAGTAACCTCCCACCCAGAACTGATTTGAGAACGTCAAGTGGACTTGCTACTTCTGCAAGACGCATTCCCAAATTCAAGAACCAGGCCGCCCACAATGGTGCAGCCCAACAATGACGAAGACGACTACGTCTTCCCTGAGACTACCGAAGTAAACAACGACGAACGCGACAATTCCCTGACTGTCATCAATAATCCAGCCTCCCCAATGTCCACAGGCTGGGCGATACTTTGGAACTCTGACAGCTCCTCCGATGCCACATCTGAGCCCATCGATGTCAAAGCCTCACCCGACAGGTCTTTCCCAGGTGTTCATCACCGCACCTTGGACCCTCAATTAGAGAGCTGGCTACGTCCCGCATTGTCTGCGACTATCCCAAGACCACGCCCTGCCCCAACGTTCCAGGAGGCACTCCGTCAATCCGAGCCCACGTCCTCAGCATCCCAATCTTTCGACTCGGCGGCTCGAAAGCCGATTGACTGGGAAGGTCGCCCAGCTCGAACCTTGAGCGGCGGGAACACGAACTCTTCGGAAGCCGGTCCCTCGCGAAGAGCCTCTCACCGAATTGGCTTGAACTCGACTGGAGATCTTCGCGAACAGGTTCTGCACTCCAACCGTATCTCCAAGCAGGACAAAGCTTTAGCTAACGAGCAATACTATCGACAGCTACTTCGATCCCGCTCCGTCCGGTCCAATTACCGCGTGCGCGACCTCAGAGAACATGCCGGCAAGGTTCCGGACCCCGAATGGCGCTGGTGCGGGTTCCCAGGTTGCGGCAACGGTGCCTGTCGATACAATTTCCTTCTGTCATGGGGGACCGGATACGTCATCACCCCTCTTGATTCAGGAAGAGACTGTGACATTCTGAAGAATCTTCTTGACGCCTTTGGCTCTCAGAACTGGAACTACATGGCGGAGCCCCACAGCCGGGTTTCGTTTGCAACATCCCCTCCTGTCAGGAATGCCGTCGGCCAGTTTCTCATCCGCTTCAACCATCTACGAGGTACCGCTACGGGATGGGACAAGGGAGACTATCAAGCAGCAATGATGTATTTCACCGACATGCGCACCAGGGACTTTCCCGTATTGCATCCGCACAATATCGAGAAGCTTCACAGCGAGATGGACAAGGAAATCTCGCGTTCGGACTCTGCTGTTGCACCATGGCGTCTTATCCTTCAGTTCATCATGCACCTCGAGGCATGGAGACAGCACCAGATCAAGCAAGGATATCCTTGGGACTGGCCTTTTTACGATGCTCTCGATATGTATCGAACCATTCTCGAGACTTATCAGCAATCGATCGACAAGGGGTTCTCGACTCTGAAGACTGCGGTGCAGGCAGAGCAGGACAAGGCTTGGGTGCTCTGGTGGGATCGTCACCGTCCCTGGACCAGCTGTAAGGTTGCCTTTCTTTCTGCTCTTGAAGATACTAACAATATTGACAGAGACAGGAGTTTAGAGGTTGGTTCCGAAGGGAATAATTCTTCTGATGTGGTGGTCTATGAAGGCGTGGGACAGTACAAGCCACATTGGTGGCCGAATTGGCCAAGAGCGCCTGGGTTGGACGCATCTCTAGAGCTTTGAGATAGTTTGGGATGGTAGACATTCGATGGTTTCCTTGCAAACGCAGTTAGTGATGCTTTTGCAACGTCCCTGGTGGACGACAGAATAAGAACAATGAGTTTGTCAATACCCGACTTGCATCGTGATCATCAACAAGCTGTATAAGCTCGTGAAGTTGATAGTGTTTGTCTTTGTCCGGACACCCTTCACCTTGTTGTGTTTAATTGCTAGAAATCACTTCTTTCAGTGGTCTCTTTGTTGGGTATCCTTCGTCCAGTGAAGGGACGTAAGGTAGGTACAAGGACGATGGAGAGCTTCTAGGGTCGAGAGATGGAAGCAGCAAGCAAATTAGCTCCTCCTCGTTGATACTTTGATCTGAGGATCTCCTACAAGCGCCCCCCTTCACACAGATGGGCCTGGAGTGACCCGCATCACAGGAGTCAAGCCGCACTTCCTCTCAGCTGCGGGCCTTAGAGCATGCGGCTTCTTCAAGATGACGGGGCGGGCTATTGCTCAAAAACAAAGTAGAACTTCCTTACTGTTGAAGATTCCAAATAAACCTTTCCTCGACAACATCCTCTTTCTTTCTAGACGTTGCTAGAAAAGAGAAACTCCAAAAGTTGCAGCTGATCCATCACCACAGCCACCCAGCGAGGGCTCTCATCTGAAGCAGAATATCTGGAAAATAAGATCCCAAGATGGCGTCCTCCTGCCTCCAGGAATTTCCTCGCGCCTCAGGCTCAGGCGACGACGGCGGACCAGCAAGGAAGGAACCCGAATCGTTCTGCTGCCAGCTCGCTACTTCCACTCCCATCACCCGCCCCGAAGAATTCGCCAAACTCCTCGATCTCATCGTCCATCAATCCAAGGAGAACGATCCTGCCGCTGGCATCGTCTTCGCATTTCTCAACTTTTCGAAGAGCAACTGCCTGTTTCCCCTGGCCTGCCTCGTCCACTTCCTCGAGGCATTCGTCCCTCAACCTATCATCACTTACCTTACGAGCGACTCTTGCCTCAGTGCCGCAAAGAGCATTGATACCATCCTCATGGAGGCCGAGAAGTCAGAGCAGAGACTTTACAAGGACGCGAAGCGCAGCTGCTTCCCATCGACCGGCCGAAACCATTTCCTCCGGCTGATGAACGCATCTGGTCCCGCAGTACCCATTTCTCAAATTGCCCTTCCACCCCAATACCTCATTTCCTGTTTATCAGACTAATCTTCATCGCAGCCCAAGGGTGAAAAAAGTGCGGCTGGTGCCATTCGCAGAGGCCTTCCCGAGCTTGACTATACCCTCTTCCAGGAAGATCTTCCTTCTCATTTCGATCGTTCCAAGCGGTACGACAGCTTGCCCGGCGACCCGGTGAACTACCTCTTCTCGGCTCTGCCGCAAATCCAGGAGGACGACGCAGGCTTCAAGGGAAGCAAGAAGTCTGCAGATTATAGTCGCCGGTTCGCCCTGGCCCTCTGGCCCTATGCCAACTCCAGCATCGAGGATATCGTTGCCAAGTCCGAAGACAAGGCTGCCTCTGACTTGTGGTGGGCCGCGCGCTTCGCTTTCTCTCTCTGGGATAAATCCGACTTGTCTATTCGGTGCTCCTTCACCCAGCTTCTTGGCGAGATCGCCTTGTACCACAACTCTGAGATTGTCGATAATCCTGCTCCTGTCAAGCCAAACCACCTTTGCGAAGCTGTTGATGGTGACATCTGTCCCGGAGAGGCATACGTTCAGAAGCATAAGTGGCTGAAGTATGCCCGCTGGATTCATCGTGGAAGAAAGGACGAGGATGCCGACATCAAGGTTCGTCTGGGCAGCAAGTGTGACTTGAACGAGCTCTTGAGCATCGAGAAGTGCGTTACCTGCGGTCACGAGCGCCAGGTGTCTCGCTGTGGAGCGAAGAAGCCCATGCACCACTGCAGCGGCTGCTACGTCGAGTGGTTTCCACACCTTCGCCGAACGTACTGCGGCCCAAAGTGCCAGAAGAAGGACTGGAAGACGCACTTTGAGGAGTGTCAGCGTCACAAGCACTTCATCCGAGCTGTCTGGATACTGAAAGGCATCGCGGACAAGTTCATGGCCGCGACTTTTTCTGGCCAGGCCGTTGATATCTCCCCGATCGAGGTCCGTGATAACAAGACCAAGGCGCTCGACCTCAACGGCGTCCCCCGCTTCGCCGTCACCCCGGCTGCGTGTGCTGTCGGACCCTGGGTGGGTGAGCAGGTGTTCCCTCTCGGCAAGTCGTACTTGGCGGACAAGAGCAATGAGGACCGCGCGAGAGCATTGGCTTGGGATGCCGGTGACAACCTCTACTACCACCTTCAGACTATCATTCGTCAAATCGTCACCCGTAAGTGTCGCTCTCCGGCTTGTGTCTTCACAGCGTCTTTTTATCCCATTCATCTTATTTGGGAGACGAACAGTAGGCTGAACTAACCCATGGCGATAGCGCTTTGTGACGACGTGGTTGAGATGCAGATGTTCCTGCGCAATGCCAACAGTATTACCTCTCTTGCTGCTGATCGATGCCGCGAAGGCCCCGCCATCCATACTGCCAAAGGCAAGGACCCGATGTTCTGGCCTCATCCCGTTCTGAATTGCCGACTGAAGGGAAGCGACGATTTGTTCATCATCGACCTTCTTGGAGCCAAGTTCGGCTTTAACGAGATCCTCCTCCCGGGCGAGGTATGGGTCAAGTCTAGGTACTCCTCCAAAGTAGACACGATCCCATTGGCGAAGATGAGGCTAACTAGGAAATGATGCAGGCTTGCGTACTGCGTTGGCTCAACGGTTGTCACGGACATGACGCCTTACTGGTTTCCCCGCGAGCAGCAGGGTCTCGTCTCTTGCCGTGACGAGGTCGCCTACACTTGGAGGTCGTGCATCAAGACGTACATCGCCGCCAAGTGGCCCAACGTTCCAGGACCCTTTGCCTTGTCGCATCTGAAGGAGCAGTTGTTCAGGGAGAGGACTTACATGTTCATGGTCCACTCGGACGACATCTTCAGGGAGGCCACCAACCGTCTGCGCGAGGAGAGACTCTTCCGGCAGTACCTTGTCCACGACCCGAACCCGTACTCTCACGAGTTTGCCATTGGCGTCACCAACTGTCAGAAGGAGTGCGATGTCTACGAGAAGATCTGGATGGATCGGCGCGTGTTCGATGTCATCGTCAAGGGTGAGCTCAGCGAGCAAAACCAGCTGCTGCCCGCGGGGTCCGAGACCATTCGCCTCGTCGCACTTTGGGTCGACCGCTTGATCAAGCACGGCCAGAAGGTCAAGTTTGACTCAGTCGGGCTCCTTGGCCCTCGCATGGCCAAGCACTACAATATCTGTACCACGCACTCGTTGGACGAGCTTCGCGAAATTTCCACGCCCTGGCTCCTGTGGCATGGTATCTCCAAGGATTCATCCCAAAAGTTCTTTGAGCAGTGCAAAGGCATCGTCACCGACTACATCAATTCGAATGCGGCGACGCCCGATCAGCTGCTTAGTAAAATGGCGTCGTCCGACGGCCTCGCTAAGTACCTGCAGACCTTGTCGATGGAGGATGCGCAAGAGTTCTTGGAGATTGGATCAATGATTGAGTCTCCTCATAACGGTGCATCGATCAAGCAGCTACGAAAGGAGCTCGCGGAGCAAGCCAGGGACAAGAAGTGAGGCAGTTTGTGAAATGAACTCCGTTCGTTTCTTTCTAGTACCAGAGACACAGCCCCTACTAGGTATGGCATAGCAGAGAACGGGATTTGGGAAGCGCGCTTTCGTTAGGAAGAAAACGGTCTTTTTGTGACTTTGCAGAATACCCTTGAGCTTGGTAAATGGAACATCGAAGAGTTTATTTTGAGGTTCCCGTCTATTGAGGAATCGAAGTGAGGTGAAATCGAAATGCTGAAGCGTCGTCAAACAAGTCGCTGTGATTGGCCAATGAGCGCTGACCGTCGATGTCGTGCACGGGCCATATGAAATTTGTCCGACTGGCGATTGAAGCTCGGGAGCTCCAGCAACTTTTTCCCATCACCAGGTGCACCCCATCACGCCGGCAGGACAGACATCTCCTGCTCTTCAGACACGTACGTCAATTCCCCAGACGATCATTGCAGACTTGCTATTTGGATTGATACTGACGAGCTCTTTCAGGATGCCACCGAGGTTACCACAACAGGCCGCTCGCGCCCTGCGCAGGCTGGCGACGACTTCAACCCCCATCACACGATCCTTCACCACCACGACCTCCTTCCTCGCCGCCCCGGCTGCCGCAAGCCTCCGTCTCCCCGCCGACTATGTTCCCGCGACGAAGCCTCCCTCCGCCCGTCCTCCCGAAACCCGCAAGTCCCAGCTCATCAGGACCTACACCTCCCTCCTCCGCACGACGCCCCTGATCCTCTTCTTCCAGCACAGCAACCTGACGGCAGACGAGTGGTCCGCCGTCCGCCGCGAGCTCAACAGCGCCCTCGTCGCCGCCACGCCCGCGGGAACCAACAGTCCCCTCGACGGCCGCGAGGTCCACCTCCAGGTCCTGCGCACGCGCATGTTCAACGTCGCGCTCAAGCTGGCCGAGTTCTACGACCCCGAGGTCGCCAAGGCCAAGGCCGGCACGCGGACGGGGCCCCGCGGACCCTTGGTACACGATCTGAGTATGGCGGCCTACGAGGCGATGAAGGATTTCGAGGTCCCTGAGGACTCGGCGTACGCGCAGATCTCGCCGCTGCTGTGCGGTCCCACGGCGGCGCTGGTCTTCCCCGCCGTCTCGCCCGCACACCTCGCGGCCGCGCTCAAGATCCTGGCGCCGGGCCCGGGCAAGTTTGCGGCGCCGCCGAGGAAGAAGAACCCGGGGTACTACGAGCCCCTGTGCCAGAGCGCGCTGCAGAAGCTGCTGCTCGTCGGTGGACGGGTCGAGGGCGATGTGTTTGACGTTGATGGCGTCAAGTGGGTTGGTGGTATCGAGGGTGGTCTCGATGGCCTGCGGGCGCAGCTTGTGCATATGCTCCAGAGCGCTGGATTGGGTCTTACTACTGCTCTTGAGGGCGGAAGCAAGAGCCTTTGGTTGGCGTTGGAGGGCCGGAGGACGCAGTTGGAGGATGAGGGGAAGCCTAAGGAGAGCGCGAGCGCGGAGGAGACAAAGTCCGAGTAGAGGGATGCGTGGGAGGATGGTGTATGATAGTGCTGTAAAAGTCTGTATTATCACGGGATACGGATCTCTACTATAGAGCTAAACTATTTGTTCATGGCATTGAAGTTGGGTATGACTGTATTCAGCAGGGTTGCATGTGAATTACTGCCAAGTCATGATTCCCTTGATGAAAGTGCAGTGTTGTTCGTGGTTTCTCTGAGCATCAATAAGCGTCGCGCCGTTTCTTTTACGGATATCGAAGAAGCCTAAATGGACTGCCGTACATGACCGTTCAAGACGGGGGAGGCGACGTTAGCAACATTTGGCAAGCCTCCTCGAGATAATTCCAGGCACCACAGCCTTGTTGAGACCCGGGACTGATCATAAGAAATTGTAGCAGCACATCTTGTATCGAATAATATTCGAGACTAACAGACATACAGTTCGTCTCAGCCGCCTCAGTTAAGAGTAAGTTTGACAAGAGCCCTGGAGACGAAAGAGTGAGGTGGACGGTTCATTCTGGCCGGGCCGGCAAAATGCGGGGCGAGAGCCACTAACAGCGACCGCTGCAGGTGACCTGCATGAACGCGCCGCCGAACCGGAAAAAGACCCCTAATTAAGCCTGGAGCGCGAGTTCCAGGTGTCCTCCAGCTACCTCCACGCAGTACCTGACGCCATGGCATTGCGCGTTTCTGAGCTCCCAAAAGTCCCCAAGCTGACGTACCTCGAACATCGGACTTGAACAGCTTCACCACCTCTGACGAACAACACCACGACAGCATCAGCGTACGAATCTGTCTCGAGAACCCCGTAATCGCCTAGTACAACATCGAAGCCTTTCCTCCGAACCTCTGCCTAGCCCTGCGAAACCCCGCGATCCCTTCCAGCTCCCACCCATACCACAACAACACAACAGAACCCAAGAAACATACATCATGGACTTTGCTCCCTACCAATCCTCCCCGCCGGAGCGCGAACGAGCCCTCTCCCCGCCCCTCGCGTCGCCGCGCGCCTCGGCCGACATTCGAAGACCCTTTTCGCCGTACGGCCAGCCGTCGCCCCCGCCCTTGCAACACCCACAACCGCAGCGCGGATGGCAGCCGAACCTGCCAGGGTCCTATCCCACGGCGGACGCACACCGGGAGGGCGTAAGCGAGTTCGATACGAGCCTAGGGATCAGGCTGGATTACGAGGCTGCGCTGGCGTATTTGGCGTTTCCGCCGTTGGGTGCGATATTATTGTTGATTGGGGAGCGGAATAGTGATTATGTGAGGTACGTGGGGTGTTGTCCTGGGGTTTCGAGGCTCTGGCAATAATGCGGCGGCCTTTCTACGAGCGAGGCATTTTGCAGGGCATTCGAGTTTCAAGTCCAGCTTTATACAACGGGTCGCTAACATCAAGCAGATTTCATGCATGGCAGTCGGCACTGCTGTTCACGGCCGTCATGATCTTTCACCTGGTGTTCCTCTCATGGTCCAAGTTCCTGAGCTGGTTCTTCTTCATCGGCGACCTATTTGTCATGGTGTGGTTGGCGTTGAAGGCGTACCAAGATGCGGATACGCTAGATAGGTATGTTTGTTGGTGGAGCGGAGAATGAGCCCATTGCTAAGGGGACATTGCACTGACTATGAGTACTTAGATTCGAGGTTCCCGTACTTGGCGCGCTGGCCAGCCGGATTCTTGACGACGAATGAACTTTGACGACTCGACGAGAAGCTTGAGGGAAAGGAATTACTGTGTTGTAAGATGGCGAGGGAAGTGCCTTGATGACTTATTGTTGTGCATATCATATACCCTTTTAATCAGTCGGAGAGAGAGAAGCATCTCGACCTAGGCCAGCTGGTCTTCTTGTCTCATAGATGTACAATGTTGTCTGTATGAATGACAAGAGAATTGAGTCAGGAGTGTCACGACAAGATACCTAGAAATGAGTAAGTAAGGTGATTCCAGTAATAATATCTCATCGTTGAGGTGAGATGAGCTCAGCAACATCGTACCGTGTACTGGTACGTTTCTGCACAGTCAAAAGCACTGTAGCCGGATCCGGTCGGACTTTCCTCCTAGCGCTTTCCGGCCTAGCCACTGGACGCACAGGGCAACACCAGGCTGATTACGCGACTGTTGCTTGCCTTGAGGTCCAGCTCGAGCCTCACTGCCCAGTACCTCACCCACGCAGCTCCGAAGCTGTCCCTTTCTGCTCCATCACAAACCCACGACGACACACCGGTATCGACCCGACCCGACCCCATCACCAATCTCCCTCACGCTTTGACGACAGACACGGCGAATTGTATCTTTGACGAACATCTACCTTTAATATCCCCCTTCCGTCCCCCACACACACCCCGCCACCATGTCGACCCTTGAAGAGCTCGACGACCTCGATCGTCAGGACAAGAACGACAAGAGAGATGAGGGCGACAAGGATAAGAAGGACAAGAAGCCCACCAACGACGGTGATGCCGAAATGGAGGATGCTGAGAAGGAGGAAGACATCCTTGACGACGAGATCCTGAACCTCAGCACGCAGGACATCCAGACACGCAAACGGCTGCTCGAGAACGACTCCAGAATCATGCGCAGCGAGCTGCAACGGTTGACGCACGAGAAGGCAACTATGGGGGAGAAGATCAAGGAGAACCTCGACAAGATTGCTAACAACCGGTATGCTACTTGCTTCCCTCCCTCACCCTTGACGACCGATGACGAAATGGACAACTGACATAAGCCACCGTACAGACAATTACCCTACCTCGTGGGCAACGTCGTCGAACTCCTCGATCTCGACCCTACTGCCGAGTCATTGGAGGAGGGTGCCAACATCGATCTGGACGCCACCCGCGTGGGCAAGTCCGCAGTCATCAAGACCTCCACAAGACAAACCATCTTCCTCCCGTTGATCGGTCTGGTCGACCCCACCACCCTGAAGCCTGGCGACCTCATTGGCGTCAATAAGGACTCTTACCTCATTCTCGACACGCTTCCGGCCGAGTACGACAGCAGAGTCAAGGCCATGGAGGTCGATGAGAAGCCGACAGAGAAGTACACGGACGTTGGTGGTCTCGACAAGCAGATTGAGGAGCTGGTCGAGGCCATCGTCTGGCCCATGAAGGAGGCGGAGCGGTTCAAGAAGATTGGCATCAAGGCGCCAAAGGGTACGACCGAATACCAGAGGCTCATTAGGCGATATACTGACCATACTTATAGGTGCCCTGATGTACGGCCCCCCCGGTACCGGAAAGACGCTGCTGGCCCGAGCCTGCGCAGCACAAACCGACGCTACATTCCTCAAGCTTGCCGGTCCTCAGTTGGTTCAGATGTTCATTGGAGATGGTGCTAAGCTTGTGCGCGACTGCTTCGCCTTGGCAAAGGAGAAGGCCCCCGCGATTATCTTCATTGACGAGTTGGATGCCGTCGGTACGAAGCGTTTCGACAGCGAGAAGAGCGGCGACAGAGAAGTCCAGCGAACTATGCTTGAGCTTCTGAACCAGCTTGACGGTTTCGCATCAGACGACCGCATCAAGGTGCTGGCCGCTACCAACCGTGTGGACGTCTTGGATCCTGCGCTACTTCGTTCAGGCCGTCTCGACCGAAAGATTGAGTTCCCCCTGCCGAACGAGGAAGCGCGTGCGCAGATTCTTAAGATTCACTCTCGCAAGATGAGGGTCGACCCCGCCGTCAACTGGGGCGAGCTGGCCCGCAGCACGGACGAGTTTGGTGGTGCCATGCTCAAGGCCGTCTGTGTGGAGGCCGGTATGATTGCTCTCCGTATGGGCAAGAACAAGATTAGCCACGAGCATTACGTGGATGCCATTGCCGAGGTGCAAGCCAAGAAGAAGGACGTGAGTGTTGAGACCTGCAGCTCCCACATTGTTGTATGCATACTGACTCTTTGCAGACGGTCAACTTCTACGCTTAATCCATTCACGTGTTGGGTGATGCCGCCGCTGGGTATCTGGGGTTATTGCTTCTGGCGGGAACGGGAATGCATAGAGGAGTCGAATGCGATAGACAACAACTTTGTACGATTACCACGGACACTCAAGCGGCCCTATAGGAATGGAAAGCAGGGTGATTGTGATCCCAGCAAGCAGTCCCATTACGCTTCCCGTTGATACTTGCCATGGCGGATGTGCCGTTTGTGAATTCGATGTTTGAACATGGGAAAGTGAGGCCTCTTGCCAAGTGGCGTTCTCGGTGAGGGGAACACGGGGCAGAAGCTATCCACATTTGGAGACGGCCAAGTATACTGAAAGTTTGACACCCTGACTGAAGCCTACGATAGTTATCAATGATCGGCACCCGAGAGGCGAGAAGCAAATACGCGTTCAGCTTCACGGTCTCCAAAAAGGATCGGCAAGCTGTCAGGAACACCTCGCAAGATATCAAAACTCAGGCTACTGCAGGTCGTAGGACCTTGTCGAGCTGAGGCCGATCTCTGTTGCGAGGCCAGCACAGGCACAGGGTTGTGAGTGAGCAGGCATTCGAGAGATGGTTGCAGGTATGCATGGCATGCACGCTCTTCACAAGTTGCGATCTTCCCCCGGGTAAGGGCTATGATCTGGCTGCTTACGTAGGTGCCATCCGTATTGTCGTTTCTGGGATCCATGTTTCTTGGGGTCCTTGGGACGAACGGCCAATGATGAAGGTCAATGGCATTGATGAGGAGGAATTGGGAACCTGTGGGAGGTGTTGCAGGCACGGCCATGGTAGCCGAGTATCTTGAGCATCGCGTATAGGAGAGTATGTACTTCGTAAATGGGCTGCTATATCGTGTGGCGTTGTATACCTACCTCGGCATCGTAGTACGTTCCCTAAGCCTCTTCCGCGAGCTGTCTTTGGAGTATCATTGGCGGTGCGAAGTCTGGGGCTTTCATTACATTATTCTCTGCGTAGAGACTAGGTGCGCAATGCAGATGGACAGGAGATTTGGGCCGTTCCTTGGAGGGTTGCCAGACCTTGGTTTTCCTCCCCGAAGAGGGCTGATCCCTACCTGGTTTGGGGTCGCTTCGAGGTTCTGGGGGGGTGGTTCGCTGGTGGACAGGGGATCTCAAGATGGAAGTCAAGTCCTAGCGTGCTCCCCTTTTTGTGGCTTTTTTGTTGCTTCTTCTTTTGCTTTCTGCTCAGCATTGGTGACGACGATGGGTGAATTTGCTGTGAAAAGTGGTATGAGGGCGTTTGATGGTGAGGGTTTGGGGTGACATCGTGGGAGGCGAGTTTTTGGCGATGCCCACTTGTCACCCAGTTTGGTGACGATGTAGTTGTCTGTCCAAGTGGGCAAACCGGCAAGCTGCTTCGGCTGTGTCGTGTCTGTGTGGAAATCGGCAGCGTCAATGTAGGTCCAGAGTTCCAGTATGCAGCTTTCTCGGAACCTTTTTTTCTCGCTATTTTCCTAACGAGTAATGCCTTGCTCCCCTCATTCACTGAATCGGTGCTGCGTTTCTGGGTGTCATGGTCTCATGTTAATGACACCGTACCGTTGCGGCGGGCGTGGAGATGGGAAGAGGTGGCACGGTGTGCTGTGCCCAGGTGTGCAGTTTGTTACCGAGAGTTCGGACCATGGCCGAGGGGCGAGACCGATGACGCCACCGCGGCTGAAGGGGCGGAAAGCTGGCGGAGAGGGAAGTTTGGGCAGATGGGAAGTAAGAAGCTTATTCTCTCCCATTCTCCCGTTCCCCCTTGCGCTGTTTCTTACTGTCCACGCTATCGTCTTCTAAGGTACTCGATGCATTGCGTGATGGGCCAAAGTTGGCGGTAAGCCTTACAAGGTGAGACATGAACTTTTCGGCCCCCGATCTGGGGGGGAGAAGCCGCCGGCGGGAGTTAGGTTTAGAGGGAAAGTATCGCGGCCGGCCCCATCTGCCGCCCGGGGCTCCACATCCGACTTCACTACGTACCTACCTCAAGTACCTTGGTTCCTTTGTACCGGTCCAGGCATGTTGATGAGTGTGGACGAAAAGCCTGGCGGCTAAATTTCTAAATCTCTTGTTGATCGTCATAAATCATGCATTTTTCTTCCCTGTTGAGGGCGAGTAGTCGCTGCAGTTCATCTCGTCTTTTTCCTCACAGCTAGTGTTCTTATTCCCAGCTGTCTCCATTCCAATGGGCTCGAAAGAGGCACCCGACACTTCATCTATTGTTAGAACGATTGACACGTTTTTTTTTTTTCTTGACAGTTCTCTAAAAGGGTCAAGATTTACCCATTGTCCAGCTGCTCAGGGGAAAAGACGAGGATGCAAGATGCAGCGTGTTCCCAGAAGAACGAAGCAGCTAGTAGTGGCGTCGATGCTGATCTTCTCAGCCACGCTTGTCCTGCCGTTTGACACGAGGGGATCGTCGGCCGTTGGAAAGAAAGTAAAGCAGCAACACACAGACAATTGAGGCAAAAAGCCGTCTTTTACTGCCTGACTCCTCAACGGTCAAGGCCGAGGCGGCATAGGGACTAGAGTTGCTAGTCACCAATGAACAGTCCGCATACGCCGAAATGACGCTCTTTTCCCCCTTCCAGAAAACCAATCATGGGTGGTAGACTTCTTGCCAGGGGGTGTGTATTGTTGTGTGTGGTGTGAATACCGGCAGTTAAGATGCAGGGGAGCGGCACATATAGGTCCTTCCATGCCTCCCCGCTTTCCTCCAAGTGATGGACTGCCCCGGTAGCCCGTAGGCGCGGACCAACGACGTCTCAAGACGTTGATGGGCTTCTCGGCTTGGCTGTTTGTTAGTGCTTCTACTCTGTTGGAGGTAACCCAAGCTCGTTGCCCGCGTTCCCTTTCCTTGGCTATGCTATGATTTGGCCCATTTCCCTTTTGCTTTGCCTGCCGGTGCCGTGCCGAGTGCCTCCATGCGGCTGTATTCGAATGAGGTCAGGCAGACCCGGTTGAAGTCGAGCGCATGGAAAGGACCAATACTACCTTACCCGAGCCTCCTCTCTCTTATGTCGTCTCGCCACCGCGACCCAGAGAAACAACCGCCGCGGTGACGATCTCTATTGTGCTGAGGCATGGTAATGGGTACTGTAATGCAGTGCAGGGCGAGGCGAGGCAGCGGCTGGGTATTATCCCATCTATACCACCATCCCCGTCTACGATCGACGCAACCCCAGGACGGATTTCTCCTTGCTCTCCACCATCACCGCCTTTCATCCCTACGTCCCTAGCCACGTTCTATCTCGAAATCCTGTTCTGGCAGAATCCCCGAATGCAAGTATGCACTTTCTTGGGAGACAGGGGAGCCTGGAGACAGCCATAGCAACATCCCCCGGACCGTGATTCGGAGAGAATTCACCGACTTGGCCCGATCTGGCAACGTAGGAGCGTAGTACCTGACGTATTCAGCGCCCATCTGAAAGCTGCAGACAGACGAGCTCCGGCACGCAAGGAACAGGGAGTCTGTTTCTGGAGGAGAGTAGAGAAGCGACGTAGTGTCCCTTACTGGCTGGGGGGCCGGTGGCCGTTTTCTGCCATGCGAGATTGGGGCTCATGCGTTGGTGTTTGCTACCTAGATCACAAGGTTCTGTTTCTGGACGAGGACTGCGACTTTGTGGCTTGTAAGCCCCATGTCTTTTTCATGTTCGAGATGACAGATCACGCCCAGACGCCCCCTTTATCCTGTCTCTGCCATGTTCTGGAACGAGAGGTTATCATTGAGGTTTAGGCTCGGAGCACGGTTCTACCACTGTCGTCAGGCTTCATCTCCTTGTTCTTCATGCCCTGGTGCCTCACCCAAGAAGTCATGGGTCTTGGTAGCGATATCTTGTCGCGTCGTCATTCTCGGTTTGAGGCTTGAACGCCATGTCACGCTGGCATACACAGAGGTCCAAAAATGTATCAGCCAAACGGATCAACTGATGTATTCGCTTCAACGCAGTGTACCAAGCAAGTGCTCCCCACAGTCCTTTTCGTTTCCTATCCCTCTCTATTCGGACGTTTACACAGACTATTCTGGAAGGCGAAAAAACAAGGAAACCCGTTCGAGCACCGTTGTTCCCATGTGGAGTTCAGGTCGGATGGGCACACCCACCTTCTGGTACCTCTTGCAGCAGAGCCCTGCGTCAGAGGTAGACCGGGGTTGCGGACATTTCACGGGCGCATCTGCAGATGCAGAGACGACGCAGTGCCACAGTGGCAGCCTTCCCATTGTCGCGGTCTTGGGATGGGATGGTCTGCCCGATGCTGATTTGTGCCTGCGTCGTCCGGTGACTCCGATATCTGCCAAAAATACCCCCGTCATCTCAAGACTGAGGCTACACAAACGACTGCTTCCATCTACCTTTCACAAGATCATTGCTGAACGCCAGTTGGACAGTCATTTGGTAAGAATTATCAGCTTGCGGTCCAATGGCTTGTCTCCTTGACCACTTACACGCCGCCTACCGACCATTCTCCAGTTCTCACTCCGCCGCGGGCAACGACGGCGGCCTATGATATGAAGAAGAGAGCTCTTTGCTCGCCAAGGCAGCGGCTAAGCGGCCTCAGCCGGTTCAAAAGTGTGTGCCTACTCTACACAAAGTACATGTGGGTGGCAACCCTCGAGAGTCCCACGGGAGATTTCAGGTACCGATCCGAGCATTCCTGTTCACACCTCCATCATCCTCAGTAATAGGGGGTTGTATACCCCGTTCACCCCGTCTCGAACCACAGAATCACCTTGCCCCTACACCCGGCTACCTCCCCTGAGCTCCTATCTTCACATTGTCAAGTGAGGAGACCCTGTCGAACATGAGATCGACACAAGCCGTCTTCGTCACTCCACAATCAAAGGGGGGCGCAAGGGGAGGGAAGGGGAGGGGAGGGGATATAGCTGTCTCCCGTCTAAGACGGTAGGGGGCCATCACGATGTCACGCTGTCCAAGGATTGGGACAGAAGTTCGTCGTCGAGGCGGCGCGAGCGCGTCGTTTGCTTGGGGAATTTTGATCAGAGAGACATCGTCATCGAGACCGGAGGCCTGTGACGAAGGTCAAGACGAGTGTCTTGTCCATGGTCTTTGCGGTCGTCACGTCTTGTCTGGAACCTCTATATAAGAAAGCACGTCAGTCCCCGTTGATGACCATCTTCCTTCACTCCACTCATCAGCTCCATTACACCAACAAGCCTCACCTACAGCTTACAACAATCACTCTTCTATCTCTCATCTACTACATAACCCACTTACACCAAACCAATAACACCACAGCCATCATGAGATTCACCATTGCCATCACCGCCCTCTTCGCCGGCGTCGCCCTCTCCGCGCCGCTCGAGGAGCGCCAGGCCGTCTACGTCCCTTGCTCCGGCCTCTACGGCACCTCGCAGTGCTGCGCGACGGACGTCCTCGGCGTCGCTGACCTCGACTGCGGCAACCCGCCCGAGGCACCCACCTCGGCCGACGAGTTCAGCTCCATCTGTTCCGCCATCGGACAGCGTGCCCGCTGCTGCGTCCTGCCCATTGTGAGTTCTCTCCTGTATCTTGATTTATATGATTTGAGCGTGTTTACTGACAGATGATACAGCTTGACCAGGGCATTCTCTGCAACACCCCCACCGGTGTCACCGACTAAGCGTCTTATATCGGACGTGGGCTTGAAGCCAACGATGCTTCATTACTTGACGAGACAGCTCTTGAGTTGAAAGAACTCGGGAGCCACGAAGATTTTGTACGAGCTGAGGAGGATGTAACGGTACTCTTGATTCGATATACATGGGCAACAATTGTTTTATACGCTGGGATGGGGAAGACGGCTGGGGGTTCAGGGGCGGAAAAGGCTTGGAGTCTGTGAGGGCTATATAGGCTGCTTTCTGGCAGCTTGTACAACACCTATGTCTAGGGAAATGAATGTTTTGTTGAAGTCAGTCGACCTTGTTGGTGGTGAACTCGTTGAAGTGCAAGGTCCATAGCTTGTGTCGGCGATTTACAACCTTCAGTATGAAAGTATACGGGCTTACGGCAGACGACAACATCTGGTCAAACGGCTGATACCCTGCGGTCAGGAAGCTGCAGCATTGACTGTCGCCTGATGGCGTTGGATGCGAAATTCAACGTCGAATCTGTCTCTACTTAAGTTTTTCTCCCCTATTTCACACAACATGATACATGCACCATGGGCTCGCATCACCAGCTACAAATTTCACCGACTTCTTCACCAGCAAGCCGCTCTGTATTTCTCGTAACTTATTCATCTTGCGAAAGGGTAAGATTGCTGCCATGAGATCTGGCTGTTGATATGGATAGGGTGAATGGTTCGTTATACAGGCCTCGAGACGGGCAGAGTGTATACACCAGCTAACTTACCAGAAGCAGAAATATCACATCCATACCTACTGGTTCGGATGAGAGATCCTCAGACACGCAAAGGCGTTGGATCTCGCTGCCTTGGGGTCAACTGGCGAATATGACTGAGAAAGATAGCTCAAGATACAGATCACAAGGTCTACACATCAAATGACACTCGAGACAGACATACTCCCCGAAAAATACCGTTCAAGGTCTCTAGACAGCCAACTCGGAAGTTAAGAATGCGCAAAGGAGTATTCACATTTCGACGTCTTGAGAAGAAGCGTAGACGAAGCAGCTGTCAAAAAAGGGCCAGTCCGCAAACGCGCCAGCAGGGAAAGGGGGGCCGGAGCAATGACGATGATGGACTGGTCCAGGCCTTTGGTCGGTCTGGCAGTCTCGGTGAAGCATGTGAGTTTACGGTGTGGGAGAGCACTGACCGCCAGCTGGCAGCGTGTTCCCCACAACCCGGCCCCGTCCGTCCCATCATCAAAAGGGAAGCATCATGGGCAAGAACGACCACCTTGCTACCTGCCTGTAGGTCATTGCCAAGGATCACGATGAGGAAAGACCTTGTGGTGACAGCTGGTGGCGGTGCGGAGAAGTGGCTGGGTTTTTCACTCTCCCAAACCCCATCGTTGGCTGTGGTGACCGTGGGGTTAGCTCAGAGTGACATCACCGGAGCAATTGGTCCTGGGCAAGAGCCATTGGGCAGGCAGGGAGTAAGACAGAGCTCGCAGCTTCCCGCTGAAGCTAAGAATGACGCAGGAAGGTGCACCTTGCCTACCTTTTCTTCCCCCCAGCTCCGTCAACGTGAAAGGTGTTGAGTATTGATCTACAAACAACATGAACACGAAAATGAAGCCATCCTGAGTCTTTAATCCAAAACGACAATTCAAATATCTCAGTCTGATGGCATGAATGGCATAGACATGTCCCCGATATTTCCCATCAAAGTAATGGTTTCACCGTCCTGGCTCCAAACTGACCTGCAACCTTAATGTTCAGCGCTATGCACGTTGCACCGGGTACGTACCGCCCAGCCAAGCACCACCAAAGAGCCCGGACACCGCAGCGAACCCGCACCGCACCGCGTAGGAAATCCACTAGACAGGGGGGTAGCTACGTCATGCTGAACAGAGATGAGCTTCACGGAGCTCTCTGAATGGCTGAAGAGGGGAGAGCTTTTTTTGTTGCCCTTTTCCGCCATCGTCTCTGAAGCACATCATCGTGGCATGTGGCCTGTCCCGGCCGATGCTATTGCATTGAATTGACGTGACTGCCCTGTCGACCTACTTACTGTTGGCCCCCAAGGTAAGGTAGGTAGGTGTTGCTCAGTTGCGTGGGGAGCTTGGACGCGCCATGTATGGATACGATGTCTTTTCTTTCTTTGTTTTGTTTGATTGTCTCAACGTCTAGCCGGTTGTCTCCAAACAATTTGAATACCTAGCAAGGCAAGGGAAGATTTGGGCAGGTGCACTACCTAGGTAAATGTACGAAAGAGCAGGAGCTCCTCGCTCGTCACTCCTTTGAACGCGGCAAGTGTTTCTCGAGCCAGGCAGGTGCGACTTATATGTATGGCAACGCACCTTACCCAGGAAGGCACTCAAGGCAAGAGATGGAAAGTACGTATGTAATACGTACCTCATGTACAACCACTCGCTCATTCCTCCATCCACGAGGCCTCGAATGTCATGGCCACCGCAGCAACGAGACGAGAGAGATGAGATGCATCCACGGGCAAGGCACCCAAGGCGCCCAAGGTCACAAATGCAGCCACAATTTCCCCCATATCGTACCTACCTCACCGCAGTGACGTGATGGATTCCTACCGTGAATTAGATCATCCGTGGTCCATTGGGTGACGATTGACGCTTGAAGCTTGACGCTTGCCTTCCTTTGGTTGACCCCCCAAGGCCCCTTCCTCTCTTGTGCTCCGTAGTCTGTACGCCTTCCATCTCCTCCCTGTCGTCAACCTGCCCGCCCATTGCCTGCACCTGCACCTCCACATTCATCTAGGTTCCCCGTCCACTTTGCGTCTACGTCTCCCTGCACACAAGCACGTAGCTTGCCATCCCGCCTCCCGTCGACACAACAAAAACCACCTACACCCTTGGCAACCTCTTCCCCGAGCTGAACCTTTCTGTTTCTTCCTCTCTACATCAACATCTCTGTGATTTCCTCATCTTCTCAGTTCTTTCCGGGCCTCTTTTTTTTCGTGATACCCCCATCTCTGGCTCTTCGTTGGAAGACTGATCGCAAATCAACATCATGCGTTTCCTCCCCGCCGTCCTGACGGCTCTGGCTGCCCAGGGCGCCATCGCGAGCTCTTGGTTCTCCAAGGCCGGTACGTCATATTCAGCATGCATCACTGTCTTGATTTGTTTGATATGAAACTGACAAACATCGCTCGCAGCCTACAACAAGTGGCACGAGACGGAGCTTGAGCGCTGGCTGTCTGACCATGACATCCCCTACCCTACTCCCGCCGATCGCAAGGATCTCGAGAAGTTGATCGAGAACAACTGGAACGACTACGTTGTCTCCCCCTACAACTCGTGGGATACCGACCGTCTTCAGAGCTACCTGAAGGCCAAGGGTCTCGAGACCGAGGGCGCCGCCAAGGCCAACAAGGAGTCTCTCGTCGCTCAGGTTCAGGGCTCTTGGTACGAGACGAGCGATCAGGCTCAGAACGCCTACCTCAGTGTCAAGGACTGGATCTTGGACAGCTGGACCGACAGCCAGCTCAAGGCCTTTGCCGACAAGCACGGCATCCCCGGTATGTTTACAGCAATCCTTGTGCCACCAGAACCCGCGACTGACCATCATTCTAGTCCCCCAACCCCGCAACCGTGACAGCATCCTCCAGAAGGCCCGCGCCAACTACGAGACCATTGCCCAGAAGGCTGGCGAGACCGCCTCCTACCCTGGCAACTGGCTGTATGAGACCTGGTCCGGTATGTATCAATACTCTGCCTGTTATCTTTCCCACACTAACCTCATGTGCAGAGTCTGACTTCAAGGAGTGGCTTGATACTCATGGATTCCCCGCTCCCCAGGTCACCAGCGTGAGTGCACCCAAGTATTCCCGTTCAATACATGTGCTAACCCGTACACAGCGTGACAAGCTGATCGCCTCTGTCCGCCGCAATTCCCGTCTTGCTTCCCTTAAGGCTCAGGAGCAGGCCGCTAGCGCTTCCGCTTCTGCTCAACAGGCATATGCCACTCTCACCGATATGGTCATTGACGCCTGGAGCGAGTCTCAGCTCAAGGAGTTTGCCGACAAGAACGGCATTCCTGTTCCCCAAGGCACCAAGGCCAATGAGCTGAGAGCCCTCGTTCGCAAGCACCGTGCTGACTTCCTCAACTCCAACATTGCTGGCAAGGCCAACAGTGCTTTTGGTGCTGCCACCTCCAACGTCAACCAGGCTGCTGCCAAGGCCACCGATGCTGCCTCCAACGCTGCTACCGAGGCCTTCAACGAGGCTGTTGGTACTTGGTCTGAGAGCCGTCTCAAGGGTTACCTTGACTCCCGTGGCGTTCCCGTTCCCCAGGGATCCAAGACTGATGAGCTCCGTGCCCTTGTTCGCAAGAACCAGCACAAGGCCGCCACTGGCTGGAGCGCCTGGACCTACGATGATCTCTCCACCGAGAACCTCCGCAAGTACCTTGCTTCCAGCAGTGATGCTGCCGTCAAGAATGTTGCCGACAAGAAGGACGCTACTCGCGATGAGCTCGTCAACGCTGCTCAGTCTGCTTACAGCTCCGCCTCCTCTGCCGGTGGTACTTCCTACGCCTCCGTCACCAGCTACCTGTCTCAGGCCACCGACGCGGTCAAGTCCAACTTCTTTGACACATGGAGCGAGAGCGAGCTCAAGAGCTACCTTGACAGCTACGGTGTCAACGTTCCCCAGGGATCCACCGTCAACGAGCTCCGCGCCTATGCCCGCAAGCAGTACACGTACTTCAAGTACGGTACCTCGACTCCTTCCGAGACTCTCTTCGCTAAGGTCGCAGAGAACGTCAAGGATACCTGGAACTGGGTTTCTAACCAGATCGGTCTTGGTGCTGACGCCGCCCAGAAGAAGGCCGTCGAGTCCAAGGAAAAGGTGAAGCAGGAGCTGTAAATGCTCCCCACACTTTCTAATTGATACACATCTCGTATGAGGATGGTATTAGTGACTCACATGAGTTACACTGATGACGGATGACAAAATTTGGGTTTTCGGCTTGCTTTATCAACGACTTTGCTTTGGGAAGTACCATGGTTCGGAGGGGATACCTTCAAGCCCAGGGTAACAAGGGTGATGAACGCCGCACGTTTATCGAGTCTTTCCCCTGGGCCAGGACTGTACACTATTCATTTAGTAATGAGCCATGAAATTAAGCATTCAAAGTACTATTGATTTCAGGATTGTGATGTGACCTTACTATGTACTTGTCACGGTGATGCTTTTGAACCAGCTCCCTCACATTTGATAGGGCTTAATGCACTACGGCCACATGAAACCGAAACGCTCCACGTTGGCTAAAACGAATCGATAAATAATAATGTCCGAGGCGGGAAACGCCTCGATATTAATCAACCCATATGATTTGACGTACAATCGCATAACATATCACTTGGTACTGAGATAGCCCGTAAAAGTAAACCGCAAAGGGGGGTTGATCTAAATAAGGACTATCCACGATGTAGACCTCAACTAAAGGTCATGACTGAAACTTTTGGTATTTAAAAGCACTTCTCAGGAATCCTCTCCATTTTCTCTTTCTTCCGGGTACGCCTCTTCTCAATGCGAACTCACGCAAAGTCACCAAATCTCACCTCCAAACATTGCCATATCCACGTTACCTTGAGAGAACGCCCCGGACGACTCCCTCCAGGTTGGGCTTGTTGTCAAAGACGACCTCCTGGATCCCCGTCTCGCCGCCGGTGCCCTTGTTCAGCCAGCGGGCGAGGAGGTCGTTGCTCTCCTTTGGCTTGACGGCGTCGTCGCGGGTGCCGACGGTGATGTGGGCGACGTTGTTTGTGCACTTCCACTGGCCTGTCGGGTCGACTAGGCGGACGACCATGGCCATGACGCGGTCGTCAAAGACCACCTATACGAGAGTCAGTCAGTCTATAGATAAAGGATCACTGCGGTTTCTTTCTGCTTACCCGCTCGAGCTCGACGGAGCACTCGCCCAAGGGGCGGATGTTGGCCTGGTCCTGGGTACCATTCTCCTTCTCCGCCTCGGCGAATAGGGCGAGGTACTTTGACCACAGCTCCGCGTTGTCCTTTGAACTGGCGCGGTGCATGAGCGTGACGTGGAATTTGGGCTGGACGCGGCGGGTCTGGTGAAGCTGCTTGTAGAAGCGGGAGGTCGAGGCGTCGACCTTGTTGAAGGCACCGTCGAGGACGCCGCGGACTTCCTGGGACTGCACCTCGACGGACATGTACTCGAGGGGCTTCTTCTTCTTCGGCTTGGGACCCGCCTGCTGCTGCTGGCCCTGCTTGTCCTTGCGGGGTCCGCGGTCGGGGATGTTGTGCTTGAACTCGGGCTTGTACTCGATAAAGGCAGACTGGATGGCCTTATCGAGTTGTTCGGCGGAGGGAACCTCGGGGACGAGGTTGGGGTACATGCGGTGCAACTCGGTGATGACCTTTTCGAGGTTCTCGCGGCTGCCGGCTGTGGGGTCTAGGTTGATGACGTTGTCGAAGCCGTCGTCGGGTGGAGAGAAGGCGGCCAGGGGCTCGAAGCGGCTGATGAAGCCTTCCATGACGCCGAGGAACTTTGACGCGTCGGTGGCGGCGTGGATGGTCTGGTGGTTATCGCCGCGGGCAATGACACGCTCCTGGGTGATGCGCCGGACCTCATCGACGTTGGAGTTGTCGTGGGCGAAGTAGAGAGCCACAAGGCGGGCCGTCTGGTGCTGGACCTTGACATCGGTGATGATCTGCTTGCGCTCATGCTTCTGGGCGTTGTTGCGGTCGCCGATAACGACGGGATGATCTTTGAGGAGGTCGAGAATGGCCTTTGTGAAGCGAGGCGGCCGGCCCTTGCCTGAGATATTGTCGTTCTGTACGTGGCCCCAGTTGAACAGCTGCTGGAGGGCGACGGCGATGGTAGTCTTACCGCAGCCAATAGTGGCAATGGGGCACAGGATCACGTCTCCCGTCACGTCTGCGTTGACGTTGTTGGGTCCATCCTCGAGCTCGAGATTAGCGGCGTCGGAGCCCTTCATGTTCTTGTAGGCGAGGAAGTCGTTGCGGAGGGCAATGATGCCGTGGTTCTGCTGATAGAGCTGGGCGAGCTTGGGGTCGGCCTGAAGGCGCCGGCGGGCGTAAAGGAGGTACTCCTCGGTGATCTTGATGTGCTTCTTGTAGCGGGGCGGCTTTCCGGAGATCATTGCTTTTGTGCACTCGCGCCACTGGCGGTACATCAGATAGGGCTCCTCAAACTTGTACTTGAAGAACCAGTCGCGGTAGGGAACGGATTCCGGGTTGTAACTCTCCTTGCAGCGGATGACGAAGCCCTCAACGTCGCGATCGCCGTAGGCGCCCGTTTCTGCCACCTCCTCGAGAAACTTCTTGACCTCGTTGACGTCGTCCATGACGATCAAGCCGACATTCTTGAAGCCCCAATCGTTGCCGAAACTCTGAACGAGGGCGCTGGGGTAGGTGGCAAACTCGGGGAGATTCAGATTGATGCCGTGGATGTAGAGACCGGCCTTGTCCGGGCCGTACTCGAGGATGTGCTCCTCAAAGGAGTCATCGCAGAGTTCGGCCACAGCAGTAGCATTCCGGTCCCGGAGTTCCTTGGCCAAGTCCTCTTTCGTCTTTCCCAGGGCAGCGAGCTGCTTCTCAATCATGCGCTCTCCGGCAGTAGCATGGCTGAGCTCGGCGTCGGCCCTATCACCTGTAGAGTGCTTGCTGCATACCAGCAGCGTACCATCCTCCAAGCCGGAAATGAAGATGATGCAGCCGTTCTCCTTGAGGGTGAGCTCGTAGGGTCCCTTTGTCCTCGGGATGATGTTTTCCCACTTTGTCTCGTTGACCTCGCCAACGTTGAAGAACTTGTCGTAGCCTCGCGTCACAATCTCATGCTCGTTTCGGCGGTTCCTTGCTGTGAAGAGACCTCTGGCGTATGTGGGCAGGCCTCTCTTCTTGTAGTCCCATTCCTGCATTTTCCAGGAGTCGACAGTGACACCATCCTGGGAGTTCTTGACGTCGAAAGAGGTCTTCTTGCAGGAGAAGCCACCGCCCTTTGACTTTGCAAACTTGTTGTAGGCCTTTGCGTCATTTAGGGCGTGAACCATCTCTGAGACCTTTCCGGCGTCCTGGGCAACATAGGGGACCTTGGGCATGACTGCCTCGGCATTCATTGCGTTTGCTGTCGCCATTGTTGTGGTAAAGGGTTTGTTGAAAGTGAGGGGGGATTGTCTAGAAGCGAAGAAAAGTGCCCTTCGGGCAATGAACATGGAAAAGACGACAAAGAACGACGCTTGTGTTGCCCCTCTCTGTGTTGAGAAAGGAAAAGAGACGAGTTGTGTGAAGGTGATCTCACTTGACCGTTCGGCCTGGGTGGGTGAGATGTTCGTTTGTTTTGTAGTACTTGAGAATAGGATGTAAGCCTAATCCTTGACTAACAACCTTGAGATGGGTAAAGGAAAAGTGAACACTGAGGTACCTTAGGTCGAGTAGGTACAGACCGCAGCAAACGCAGTACAGGAGGTGAGTCACTGTTACTGCCTCGTTTTGGCAACGGATGAGAGAAGGTTCCAAGTTGGGGTCTCGATCAAGCGGCCTCAGCTCGAAATATTGGCGTGTGGCTATACCCTGACAGACAGAGTGTGAAAACCAGAGAGAACTAAAAGAGAAGTAGAGAAAAATAGTCCTCAAAGCACTGCAAGTTGAACTCTCAGACGTCGTCGGTAGTCACGCCGGGGGAAGGAGGCCAATCGACGGGAAATGGCGTGGTGGTTTGTGCCTTCCTTAGGTTAGGTACCTGGTGTGCCTTGCGCTTTCCACATTGGGGTGCGGTGGTCCATTGGGCAGGCACGATGGATAAGCGCCACTGCCACCAACGTCGTGGGATTCTTCGGGGCTTGGAGGGGCACAGCACAGCTTCCAAAGGGCCAAAGTCCCAGGGCCTCCCCCACCATCACTCGACCACTGCAGCTTACCTCATCCATTCTAGGTAGGCGGTAAGGGCCATCTTTGGAGGGGTTAATGAACTTTCCATTGTGTGCGTCACGCCGGGAGCTCCCCTCATCCGGCAGAAAATTTCCAACAAGCAAACACAGAAACACTACTTACTGACGAAACCCAATTTGGCCTCAAATTTCCCGACCCAAGAGTCTCACTTCTAGTTTTGTTTCAAGCTACTACCTTTGACCAAACCAACCATGGCTCCCAATCCCTACCTCTTGGCCGCCGATAACCCGGACGCCCTGCTTACCCTCCTCCGCGAGAACCCCGCCGTCGCCTCCGGCCAGGATGAGCACGGCTACTCCCTCGTCCACGCCGCCGCGAGCTACAACCACCTCGAGCTCCTTCGCGCCCTGATCCGCGAATTCAACGTCAACGTCGACATCAAGGACGAAGACGAGGAGACTGCGCTCTTCGTTGTCGAGACCGTTGCTGCTGCAAAGTGCCTGGTTGAAGAGCTTGGCGCCGATATCAACGCCAAGGGCGCCGACGGCATCACCGCCAGCCAAAAGATTGAGGGCGAGGGAGACTACCCCGAGATCGCCGAGTACCTGCAGGGCATCGAGACACAGAGAACCGCCTCTGCCGCTGCTGCTGCTAAGGCTGCGGCTCCTACGTCTACCACCGCCGCCGCCACCACCGATACCGCTGCCCCGCCCATCGACATGCCGCCCGTCCCTGAAGGTCTCGCCGTGACCCTCGGCACCATGGACCAAGCCGAGGAAGTTCCTGCTGAAGTCGACCCCGAGTTCAAGCGCCGGATAGAGCAGCTAGCCGAGCGAGAGGACTTCCACACGGCCACGGGCCAAGCCGAGCTACGCCGCCTCGTTGAGGATGCCGTCCTCGGCCAGGACCTGGGTGATGAGCGCAGTGTGCGTCAGAAGCAGGGTTAAAAGAAGTCAAAGAGAGAAGAAAAGCATTCCGTTTATCTTGAAGAACTGGCTATTCATCGCCTTTGATTTCCCAAAAGAGATAATGGCCAGGCGACTCGGGCGGCCGGAAGAATGCGACTTCGGTGCTATCGCCCATCATACCCTTTGAAAAGGACGTCGCGCTTAGCGAGAACCAGGTGCGTGACGGCATGGCGACGAGGGCGTTGATGAGGACGCTGCGCACCCAGTGCGAGGTGAAGAAGCCTTGCCACGAGATCTCGCACACGTTTGCGTGTGACGGCGTGTCTGGGTCCCCGGGGACCTGGTATCGCGAGAGGTACGGGTCGATACTGTCCCCTGCCTTGACGCGGGGGCTCCGCAGACGGATGAGGGATAGCCACTCGTACGTCTCTGTGGCAAAGTCTTCGAGGCCCGGTCTGTCGCCGTTTTGGATGATGTCCAAGGGTAGTGATAGTGGTGGTGTCCGGACCTGGAAGTCGGGTGCGAGGGACGGCTCGCACGTGTATCTTGTTGGAAAATATTGGTTCAGCGGATCTGGTGATGGTGCTGAGGAGATTCATGTCAGAGTAGGCGCCAGAGACAGGATAAGCTTGGGCGAATGACTTACCAGTGGTCGCCGCGTTGCAGAATAGCCACGTCACGGGCGTGTTGAGAACATTTTTGCAAGCGTACACCAATCTGTCGAAGCCCTTTTTGCCAGGAAACATGGCCGGGTCTCGCAACTGGTAGCTCACAACTTGAAGGTCGTTAGTTTTGAGAAATATTGTGCTGCATTGTGAAATGTTCATAGTGCTCACCCCATCGCGGCTTCAAGCCCCTCTTCCCCTTGACGCCATGAGGTTTTCCAACCAGACCGGCACGCTCGTACGTCTCCTTGTCGAGATACATAGTTAACAGGCCCTCGCGAAGTGAAAAGACGTTTTCAACGTTTGTCCTGCCCTCGGAGAGCATGAGGATGTTGCCTGTATAGAATCAGTACCCACGTGTCATCAAACTCTACAGCGAGGTAGTAACTACCTCTCTTGATGTACTCGTTGAAGAACCCGCCGTCGAGAACCTGGCCGAGAGTCATGATGACGCGGTGGAACGTCGGCGCCGGGAGCTCCTCGACGAGTTTTTGGCGGACCAGCTCGAAGCACTCTTGCGGTAGGACGAGGTCGACCTTTTGAAATGTTAGTTGAAGGTCTAGTCATAGAGTAGGTATGTCAAGGTTCTGTTTTCAGTGGTTCAAAAAGACGAACCTTGTAGTTAAATCCCTGGCCCAGGATAGGCGCCCACGGCTTTCCCCTTGTCGGCAGCTGCTTGGGCTCAATGTGAGGCATGGTGCCGTATGTGACGAAGCATTTTGGCGATTGGTAGACGCTAGGCGTCGGGAACGAGAGCATTTTGCCTGAAGCAGCACTGTTACCAAGTTGACTGAGGTTGGGTGATTGGCGTTGAAGTTGGCACCAATGATCAAGGCGTGTAAGTTGGATGCGATATTGAGTGAGTGAGACGAGAGCTTGACCGCGGATTCGAGAATTGCATATTGGAGCGGTCTTCTTGTGTCCACGGTGGGCGTTGATGCAGCGGCTTCAGGCCCCATCTTTGTGACTTTTCGTGCCCAACTATTGGTCCCAGAGGGCGTGTGCGCATCCGAGTGACTCTGCGCCCAGAAAATACCATCTTTTCGAGTCAGCGGGATGAGAGGCACTGCGCAAACGTTTCTTCCAAACAGCACAAGAGAGAAGCTTCCTACATAGCTACAGGATATTCCGAGGCCTTTCAGATCTGTGAGTAGCGAGACTTCTAGTTTCTTCTTTCTCTGAGTTGTGCCAGTGCTAATACCAAACACAGTCGCAAATAAGCCTTCGGAGCGCAAGAGAATAGAAAAACGAGGGGCATTTTTCACCCCGCGCTTGCGCCAGGATTTTCCAACGGGTTGCCCCTCCTCACTCACCCAGTCGACCTGAGTCTCATGAGAGAGGCCCCTAAAACACCCTCGATCAGATCACCACCAAGAACCCTGAAGTCGTCTTCGCAATGGAGTTCCTCGTCCGCTTCTCTCAGGCCCACGAGTCTTTTCGGCTCCCTGAGCTGCAGGCTCTCGCCGATTTGGAGGGCATCGACATGAAGGTTGTGGAGTACAGCCTAGATGTGAGTCTTGAATTCCACCAGTTCCATATGGCACACATGACGACTTCATTTGTTTTCACAATTATTCAACACGATTCTTGGCTCTTGCACAATGAGACTTTACCCACCACGTTGTATTCTGCATAAGCTCATCATATGTCGTTTTGCTCATACTCGACCCTCGCCTCTCAACTCACCACACATGGCCTCTCTCACCATAACCTACCCCTGACGAGAGCCTCACCACCAACACTCACCTCACACAACATCTCACAAACAAAAGCTAACACCATCCAGTCCCCCTTCTGCATCATCACCCTCCCTTCAATCGACCTCGCCCCCCTCCTGGTCGCCCGCTCCCTCCTAACCCAATCCATCCACCTCCTCCTCGCCTCAGCCCCAACCCACGACGCCATCCACCCCATCCTCAAATCCCAACTCGCCTCCCCGTCACCCACAACCTTCGACTGGTCCGCCGTCAGCTCCTCCACCTTCAAATTCTCCCTAGACACATACCAATCCTCCCGCCCCCACGCCTCCTTCGTCTCCCTCATAAACGGATACAAATACCTCCCCCTCCACGGCGCAATCGACCTCAAGACCCCGGAGCTGCACCTCACAATCTTCGAAGACTGGGACCTCCGCGGCACAGAGGGTCCGAAACGCGTCCACCTAGCCCGCTTCCTCGCCACGGGAGCACGCTCCCTCTCGCTAAAGTATGATCTAAAGAAGAGGGGGTACATCAGTACCACGTCAATGGACTCGGAGCTCGCGCTGGTAACGGCGAACCTCGCGCACGCGGGTCCCGGGAAGCTGTTTTACGACCCGTTTGTCGGGACGGGCTCGTTCCCCGTTGCGTGTGCGCATTTTGGAGCGCTTGGGTTCGGGAGCGATATTGATGGGCGGGCGATTCGCGGGAGCGGAGGGGAGAAGAGCGTGAAGGGGAACTTTGCGCAGTATGGGCTTTCGGAGCGTATCGGCGAGTTCTGGACGGCGGATTTGACGAATTCGCCGGTGAGGAGGGTAAGGTGGCTCGATGGTATCGTGTGTGATCCGCCATATGGCGTGAGAGAGGGGTTGAGGGTATTGGGGTGTCGTGATCCGGAGAAGACGCCGTGGGTTGTTGAAGCAGGAAAACAGCGGTATAAGTTGGTGACCCCTTTTCCTCAATTTTGCCTTCATCCATCCTTCTCAGTCTTACCATGATGGACGAGGAATCAACAATGTTGACAACACCAGGTCGGGAGACTTCATCGCCCCCAAGAAACCATACAGCTTCCTCGCCATGCTCGACGACATCCTCGAGTTCGCCTCCGAGACCCTCGTCGACGGCGGCCGCCTCTCCTTCTGGATGCCAACCGCCAACGACGAGGACCAGGAGATCCCTACACCGCAACACCCACGCCTCGACATCGTCGTCACATGTGTACAACCATTCAATAAATGTGAGTTATTTTCCATCCTTAAATACCTGCCTACTCGAGCTCCATCCCTCCATCCATAGTCATTGCCCCCAATCCCAGGCTACAGCATGATGCTTACTCCTGAATAGGGTCCCGTCGACTCATCACATACCGGCGCATCCCCGACAACCAGGTAGACCCGGAAAGACTGGCGGCCTACAAACGCACATTCGTAGCAGGAACAACAGCAGATGAGTTGAACCCCTTCCGACGGGGTTACTTCACAAAGTTTGAAAAAGAAGAAGCCTGATAGAAGAAGAAGAAACCAAGAAGAAAAAAAAAAAAAAAAGACATGTACAGCAAATACCCAGCCCCCTTCTTTGATGATGCCATGACCGTTTGCCCGATAAGAAATAATAATGATAATACTATGCGTTTCTCTTTCTTCTGTACGTGTCGTGATCCCCTCCCTCCCTTAAATCGCTTGGCCTTGGAATATATCCATACTCATACCCAAGGCGTACCATGGCATCGTCATTTGATATCATTTGCAAAAAAAAAGACAACAAGAATAAGACACGTGTGCGTCCAGCCAGACATACTCCCGCAGTCTGCAGGCGCTCGCGCACGCACACACCGAATAGAGTTGGGCGTCGCGCTCGTGCCTCCTCACCCTTTCCCACCTCCCTCTTCCCTTCTCTCCTTGATCTGGTGTCTGATCTCATCTGAATTCCATGGCGCCGAAGCAGCCCCTATCCTCCACGTGCTTGAGCTCAAGCTGCTGAAACCTGGCAAAAATTGTTAGCTGAACAACGAAATCACAAAAGGTCGTAGAAAAGAATCGTCTGCACGTACTTTTCGCTTTTCGAGTGGAAGTAGATTCCACTCACTTCACCCTTGACCTGGTTGAAGCAAATATAGTAGAAGCCCTCAAAGCTGGCTCCGGAAATCGTGCGTACGCGGTGGTCCGGGACGAGGAAATGCTCCTTCCAACGCATGAAGATGTTCTCCCTTTGCGCAACATCACGGATCACCACCGGGCCCTTGCGCGCCTGCTTCTGGAGAGGGCGGAAGGCGTTGAACTTGCCCCAATGGCTGAGATCGATCTTGTCGGTGGCGCCCCAGCTCTCGTGGCCGGTGATGAAGCTGTATTTGGTGCCAATGATTTCGCCCTCAAAGTATGTCGTCAATGTGGGGTGGTCCTCGGTGAGGCCTGCAGACACAGAGTTTAGCAACGGGTTACACGATGGGCGGGGAAGCTAGTTGTCTCGTACCTTGGATTCGCAGGTAGCCGCATAAAAACGACTCCCGAAGATCGACGTGCTTGATTTCGACCTGCACATCATATACCTGCCGCTCGGATTGTTGCGTTCCGTGGAATTTGCTCCCTGGTCGAAGATATGAAGACGCCGTGGATGGGATAATCTGCCGAGGCGTTCTGTTAGTCACTGGCGCGCTAGTCTGCATCGTTGGGGGCACGTACCCGCATGTTGGAAAAGTCAGAACCCATGGACGGCGCCATGAGCTCCTCTTCCCACACATCGTCGACATCAAGTTCCATGCCCTTGCTGTCTTCGTGTTGGACCGAAGTCGGCGATAGCCTGGGATCATGCCGCCTCGCGCCATCTGGCCGCGAAGTCCTTAGTCTGTTACCGGCCGTGTGCGCCTCTTCGTCAGACTCGGCATGCTTGAAAGACTCCATATCGGCCGCCGGTGACGAGTTGGCGGTGTCGCCCGACTGCGGCCTCGGCGACATGGTAGTGGATCTTGAGGATGAGACGGCAGATGTGGGCTCGTCGTCGAGTATGACCTCTGTGCTCATGCCCTCGGCTTGTGACATTGGAGCGCTGACGGGGGCGGGTGACGAGTCGTCGTCCATGAGGTCGTCGTGATGGGGATCCATCTGGGGAGGGGCCTGATTTGCATCGGTGGGCGGCCGCCAGCTGCGTTGTGGAGATCTTGAGCTGCTATCTTCAGGACATGTCGAGAAGCTGTGTGATCGGGGCGAATGAGGGTCGGGAGGAGGGTTGGAGGATGGAGTCGGCATGCTGGGCGTCGAAGTCGAGGTCGTGTGTCGTTGTCGAGGACGGCGGTAGATGTCGAAGTCGGGCGATGGGGTCGGTCGCGTCGACGGGGAACGGGTGCGGGTTTACCGCCGGCAGGGGGTCGAGGGCTCCGCAGTGATGGCAGCAGGGGGAGCGATGGCGCTGCTGTAGAGTTGGCGATGTCGGTGACGGGCGGGAGACGGTGCGATGTCGGTGATGGTTGGTAGCTCGCCGCGAAATTGTGCGGTCGCGGGCTCGAAAGTCGAGATAAACTCAACTCGGTCGACAGGATGCGAGGAGGAGTAGAGTTGGGCCAGGCCGCTTGTAGCAATCGGTGACTTTGGGGCCGAATAAGTCACAGGCCTGCCAAGCGGAAGAAAGCGGTCGGGGGCAGCGAGAATGGTATTGGTCGAGAGAGAACACCACCCCAGAAGTCGACGAGGTACAAGTTTGTAGGTAGCCGCAGAGTCGCCGGACGACGGTAAGTGGGTGAGTGAAGATGATTGGAGTTACAGTTCGCAGAGGATAATCTGAGTGGTCGCAAAGCACGTCGCGGATGACGAAGCTTTTCTGGCTTTGAGGGGAATATCAAATGCAAAGTAGAAGCAACGGACGGATGACTGATGATGTGACGAAGACAAGGCGAGAGTCTGGGTCGTAGTCTCTAGGTATGTAGCAGAGGTGGGCGAGAGAGAGATATGGGAGGGTTGTCCACAGCAATGCAGTGGCTGTATCCGTATAGGTAGACTGAAGAACCGGGCCAACAGGAATTGTAGCCAGCAACAAGCAACAGGAGACAGCGACAGCGACGGGTAGAACTCAAGGCAAGGTGGAATAAGGTGGTGACTGGATGCAGCCAGCAGGACGGGAAGACGATGAAGTGACCAAGGCACGGGAAATGGGACGGGGGGTGACGATTAGGATGCGGGATTGGAGGGGGGAAGGCGTGGAAGGCGTGGTAAGGTTACCGTGGGTACAACGGGCATGTACTCCCGTAGCTACCTAGTATACAAGCCCTTTTCACTGAGAGTGCGAGTGAGAATGAGAGGGCGTGGCATGAGAGAGAGAATTGGGGGTGAGTCGTGACCGGGGATGCATTGGGACGGACGGGGGACCCGCGGAGAAGACGAGGGATGGGACGGGATGACCTGTACTCTACCTACGTAGTAGTACCTAGTAGTAGGTAGGTAACTGAAGTGAGCGATGATGCTGGCCGTGAGGTCTTTTACTTTGCGCGATTGTTCATACAAGATGGCGTTTGCAGAGTTTACTGGAGAATTGTTGATAGGTATGCAGACTGTACAGAGTGAGAGTTGTGAGGTGAGAGCAATGTCTCGACTGAATCCATCACACATCACCAGTTAACTGCATTACATTTATCTGTAGACAATCTGATAACACATGAATTGGGTGTGAGTGACCAAAGGGGGTGAGACGAAATGCGGGAGAATGAGGGCGGCGGGTGCTGCAGTCAATGCATTGCAGCCGATGACGCCTGTGTCCCCGCCTTCTGTTCGCGGCCTGAATGCGCATTGCTCACTCGTCCAGCTACTACTACTACCTACTGTGCTACTATGTACATAAGAGAGAGTGCTCCAATTACCTCAGTTTAATCAGCTAAGAGAAGAGAGAGAAAAAGAAGGGACGTGTGAGACGCGGGGACACCTCAATCTGCGTCGTTTACCGCTAGCCACGTTGGAAGGGGCTTCCCGGCCTGTGCCATTTTCTGCGCTGTCAAGCCCTGCGCCGCCCTCATTTTCCTTCTCTCCGCTACGCCGCCGCTGTACATGGAGTGAAGCTTGTCGGCTGTCCCACTCTCTCGCACGCACTAACAAGTTGTCACTGCCACGCCACGGAGCTACGGTAATCGTGGGTAAATTAGCGTGGAAGGCGTGGATTATCTCCAACTGTCATGACTGTGGCTCCTACGAACCGACTTCCTGTCGCTTCTGGCGTCCCACGCGTTGGCTCATGGCGTACGCTAACAAAAACTCTGGTCCCTTAGCGGGCTGACGAGTAACTGGCTGGCAGCTAAATGGCCTTTCGCTCGGTGGCTCGTGTTAGACGAACTGCTGGGCTGCAAGCGTCGCGAAAGAAAGGCACTTAACCATTCTACCTACTCACGTTGACGGCGACCACAGGCGCGGTTGGCGGATATCCAGCGTCCGTTTTATCCTCTTCTAGCAACTTATGTCATACCTATAATTTCGTCAACAGCCGTACATAGGTACCTACTTCCAGAGTCCTCACGGACACTCACTCACTCACCCACTCACTCATCCAGGTTACTCACTCACATACTTTACCCACACATGCCTCCCGTAACGTCCCGAACACGACAATGGCACGCGACACCAACGCGATACAGCCCTGTAGTCTTGCGCTGTATGCCCTGAAGCATTCACCAAGCTGCCACTGCTGCTCCTCAAGTATCCCCTTTGGATACCTCTCAAACATGAACGCTCCATGAGTTGAACTTTTAGGGGCCAAGGCTCACTCATCGGGCTTGCGGACTTTACTCTGCGCCCGCCCTCCAGCATGTACCTTCCAAGGACACAGCACCAAGAGCTACAGATGGCGGGGGACGGAGGCTTCGGCAGGGCGCTGAAATCCAAAGAGTTGGAGAAAACGGGCACAGACTGGGGCCAAACTCTGTGCTCTTGCAGCCTCTTTCCTGCACTCCAAGGCCTCAGACACTGTCAAAGCACTCTCACTCCCCTCTCTGTCACTTATCCCACTTGCTGTGTACACGCCATAGTCTCATTCTGTGTTTCTCCCCTCGGGTTGGCGTTGGACGCGCATAGGTACCCCTCACAGGAACAGCTCCTGCAAAACACGATGTGCTCACGAACTAATCAGCTTCAAGAGAAGCTACCTTATGCTCTCAAGTTGGGTTACAGACAGTCGTCTAGTCGTCTCGCCTCTTTAACTCTGTGCTCCTTACTCTCACCGGCCCTTACCCCCGGTCACCTAAAGAGTTGAACCTCCAGACTTTCAAGAGGCTAGAGGAGCTCACCTTACCCGCCCCATATTCTAGGTCTTAGCCTCAGCCTCATGTTGAAAGAAGGGCTGTGCAAATTGACACTCACTCTATTCATCTATCCCTAACCTTACACTTTTAGTATTCGGTCATAACGTCCGACCCAGCAGCTCCCTGTCTCCATCCGTAATTCTCTTTTGGGACTCGCATTCTTCATTGCACTGTTGATACTGTCTATGAGTACGGGTTCTCCCAGTCGCACCTTACATCGGTGAACTCACCTTCCTCCCGTGCCCTTGTAATACCTCACCCCTTCTCAGGTGAAGAGCTTGGGTCAGCTTTCTCGTCTGGTATGCTTAATGGCATGTGTCTCTAGTTGCACACAAGTAGTCATCATACACATTCATCGCATAAGAGACAATCTGGGATCGGCGTCGCCGTTCAACGCCGCATCATCGAGTTTTACACCCTCCTTCCATGCTCCCCCTTCTGGCGCGATCCGAACACCAGGTACTGGCTTCTTCCCGTCACGCCTCAACGGCCCTTTACCCTGCTGGGCTCTGTCCGCCATTCAGTATGGTTGGCCCGAGGAAAGACACCACTGTTGGTCCCAGCTCGAGGTGCTCTGTAACACGGCTTTGCCTGGTATAAATGCGCCGTTGCGAAAACACTGACTCGAACTGTTGGCATCGTCTGCGAACCGCACCACCTGCATCCCCGAACCAAGCGCGGCGGTCCCATGAAGACAAAACTGACCGAACAATAAGTGTGCCATTCTTTTGACAGCGGGCCACATGCCACTTGGAAAATTAAACTCGTCTTCGTCTCTCAGTCGTGTTAACATTGTCATCATCGTCAACAGTCAACCTTCAAAACACCATCAAAGTAGGGGGCGCGTGCGTGCATCAATAGTGAAGACCGTATCTCGTTATTTTTTCCTCACAACACATGACCAGGAGCCATGCAGTCTGGTCTCCCCGAGTCTGACCTCGTATGAGGGACGACCAGCAGGGCTGTCTAATTTCCCGCCAGCCCGTCTGTCCGTTCGCCAGCTCGTCGTCTGAGCTGAAGGGCCCAAGACCCCTCCTCCATGCACCCGACTTGCAGCATCATGCATTTTTTTTTCCAGAAAACAGTAGTCGTTCCGCAGGTCACATGCGGGCTCATTCGTCATGGTACGTTCTCGTAGCCGGCTCGTAGCGTTCTCGCACGAGAAGAGGAGAACAGATGCGGGCCCAGTTCTCAGGGGTATCTCCAAGTAATTTGTCGTTTGCCGCCCAAATTAGCCCGACGCCTTCTTCAACTTCTTCGATATATCCCCCTTCTAGATGGGCTTAATCTTGAAGTGCAGCGCAATCAAGCTGAACACCAGCGCCTTCAGGTCCTGCACCAGGTAGTAGAAGACGCGCAGGCCTTCAGGGTCGGCGGACTCTGTCACGTCAACCAGTGAGCCGATCTTGGCCGTCTGATCGAAACACGTCAGTCAGCTCGAAGCTCCAGGTCCAACAAACTCGCTTTCAACCTACCTCAAAGGAGATGTGGTCGTTGCCCAGCCGAATCTCCAACTCTTGACGTCCGTCCTTGTTCTTTTGTGGCCACTTTGAGTCATCTTCCCTTCACCCTGTATGTCAGCGTCTCTCCGGAGATGGTCGATGTCGGGTATCGTACTTTAGAATCTCGCTCGTCTTGATGATGCGCTTGATCTCGTCGACAATGAGAGCGCTGACGCACACTAAATGTTGCCATTAGCGCAACTCGACGTGAACTTTGGGGCAAAGACGCCATACTCTCTTTGCGAATCAGACTATCATTTCGGTAGTTTGAGTTGTTCGCATAACGCGCGACTGCGCTCCGTCCATCGCCAACAACGCGGAAGTCGAACTCTGGTAGAAACAACGTCAGAAGGCTGCTCGAAGAACCGGATGGTGGGGTTGGGATTCGGTGTTACCCAAGAACTCGTGTCCGAATCGCCCAGAGTGACCGGAGCTACATCTCAATTAGCATTTCTTCATAAGATGGTATAAAGCTCTGGCTACATACTAGTAGCGGAGGTAGAATTGGTCGTTGGGGGCCGCCATCGTGACAAAAGTGTTGGCGACAATTGGCAATGTCGGTGAAATGTCACGGCTGATGTCCTCGAGCTGCAAGGCTGGAGATGGGAATGCAAGGAAAAGCGGGATGGTCTCCATCCAGCCCAGCCTAGCCCGCGGTGCTTCGCCGGTAGGGTGGCGGGGTCCGATCCGACACGGTCCAAGCTTCCTCCAGTCGCCAATGGAGAGCTCTTGCCCGCCAAGGGAGGTTCTGGTCAGTTAATCCGTTCCGTCTCCACTTTTGTAGAAGGCACCTTGCAAGGGAGTAGGTCCCATTAAAACCTGAATCACGTGTGATTACCTAAGTAAGTGACACCTGTCCGGCGCTGGTGCCCAGGGACAGATATTCACGAAATGGAGGCCAGAGTGTGAGAGAGAGCCCAGCTACCGAGTCGTATATCGGAATTGATTGCTTTCAACACAGCACAACAAGGCGACGCATGACCACTTAGGATTCGTGTGGAAGAGGACAGTCTCGCTGGATGGCCTAATGTTCGTCTTATTCCCTAATCCCCTAAAGTGTGGTCCCTTTGGGCAGTGAACTCGCAGCGATAGACAGCTTCCCTTAGCTAACACGTATTCCACCCCCGTCCCTAGACCGTCCAATCCCCACCGCCCAGCTTCGATACATCCCACTCGAACACCCCGAACTCCCCCTTGAACACGTCCTCAACCACAGCGCCGGCACCTCGCCAGCAACATCACACCGCACCCGCCACGATGGCCTCCTTTCTGGAAAATGCGTACAGCTTGGTGCACCAGGACAATGCCGCCGACGTTCCCTCCCTCTCGGACCTGCGCACGCAGCTCGAGAAGGGCACCGACGAGAGCAAAGTCGAGACCATGAAGCGCATTCTTACGATCATGCTCAATGGCGATCCCATGCCGAACTTGCTCATGCACATCATCCGATTCGTCATGCCCTCGAAGCACAAGGCCCTGAAGAAGCTGTTGTACTTTTACTACGAGATTTGCCCCAAGCTCGACTCCAATGGCAAGCTGAAGCAGGAAATGATCTTGGTCTGGTTCGTGGCTGGCTCGTTCGTTCCCTTCGCAGCGGCACCCCTACTGACACTCTGGCCTTAGCAACGGTATCAGAAACGACTTGCAGCACCCCAACGAATACATCCGGGGAAACACTCTTCGCTTCTTGTGCAAGCTTAGAGAAGCCGAGCTTATTGAGCCTCTCCTCTCCTCCGCTAGACAATGTCTCGAGCACCGCCATGCCTACGTGCGCAAGAATGCCGTCTTTGCGGTTTCCTCCATCTACACACACTCCGCCAGCCTGATTCCCGACGCCTCAGAGCTCATTGCCACATTCCTCGAATCCGAGAACGATCCCACATGCAAGCGCAACGCTTTCGCTGCGCTGGCCTCCATCGACCACGAGAAGGCACTGCTCTACCTGAGCACGGTGTTTGAGGGTATCCCCAACGCAGAAGAGCTGTTGCAGCTTGTTGAGCTCGAGTTCATCCGCAAGGATGCCGTCCAGAACTCTCAGAACAAGGTAACGAGAACCAAGAACGGACATTACCTTGTCGCACATCTGACTTTGACTAGGCACGGTATCTCAGACTCATTTTCGATCTCCTCGAAGCCAACACCTCGACCGTCGTATACGAAGCCGCTTCCTCATTAACCGCCCTCACAAACAACCCTGTCGCTGTCAAAGCCGCGGCCGCCAAGTTCATCGAGCTCAGCATCAAGGAGGCCGATAACAATGTCAAGCTCATCGTGCTTGACCGCGTTGATCAACTGCGGAAAAAGAACGAGGGTATCCTGGACGACTTGGTTATGGAGATCCTCCGTGTTCTTTCCAGCCCCGATATTGATGTCAGACGCAAGGCTCTGGATATTGCTCTCGAGATGGTGTCAAGTAAGAATGTCGAGGAGGTTGTCCTGCTGCTTAAGAAGGAGCTCTCCAAGACTGTCGACCAGGAGTACGAGAAGAACACCGAGTACCGCCAGCTCCTCATCCACACCATCCACCAGTGCGCCATCAAGTTCTCAGAGGTTGCCGCTAGCGTCGTCGACCTGCTCATGGACTTCATCGCCGACTTCAATAATACTTCAGCCGTCGATGTCATCAACTTCGTCAAGGAGGTCGTGGAGAAGTTCCCCAAGCTGCGCAAACCGATCGTCCAGAGGCTGGTTGCTACCCTCAGCGAGGTGCGTGCCGGAAAGGTATACAGGGGTATTATGTGGATCATAGGAGAATACTCCCTGGAGGAGCGCGACATTCGGGATGCATGGAAGAGCATTCGTGCCAGCCTTGGCGAGATCCCGATCCTCGCTTCGGAACAACGACTTCTGGACGGCGATAGCGAAGAGGAGAACAAGGAGCAGGTCAACGGACACTCAAAGCCCGCAGCACCTACCGGCTCCCGCAAGGTTCTTGCCGACGGAACGTACGCGACTGAGACCGCCCTTACCAGCCAGTCTGCTGTTGCCGCCAAGCTGGAGGCTGTCAAGGCTGCCCAGAAGCCTCCTCTGCGCCAGCTCATTCTCGATGGCGACTACTACCTCGCAACCGTTCTCTCCGCCACCCTCGTCAAGTTGGTTATGCGCCACGCCGAGATCTCTGCCGAGTCAGCGCGCACCAACGCTCTCCGCGGTGAGGCCATGCTTATCATGATCTCGATCATCCGCGTCGGCCAGTCACAATTCGTCAAGGCCCCCATTGACGAGGACTCGGTTGACCGCATCATGTCTTGCGTCCGCTCGCTCGCCGAGTTCGCCCAGAACAAGGAGCTCGAAACTGTCTACCTCGACGACACCCGCAAGGCGTTCAGAGCGATGGTTCAGGCCGAGGAGAAGAAGAAGGCCGCCAAGGAGGCCGTTGAGAAGGCCAAGACGGCCATCCAGGTTGACGACGTCGTTCAGATCCGCCAGCTCTCGAAGAAGAATGCCAGCGATGGCCTGGACGAGATCGAGGTTGACCTGGAGCGCGCAACAGGCGGAGAAGCCACCGCTGAGGATCTCTCGTCTAAGCTCAGCCGTGTGGTGCAGCTCACCGGCTTCTCCGACCCCGTTTACGCCGAGGCCTACGTCAAGGTTCACCAGTTCGACATCGTCCTGGACGTCCTTCTGGTCAACCAGACGATGGAGACGCTGCAGAACCTCTCCGTCGAATTTGCCACCCTCGGTGACTTGAAGGTCGTCGAGCGGCCGACGACACAAAACCTGGGCCCTCACGACTTCCACAACGTGCAGTGCACAATCAAGGTGTCCTCTACGGACACTGGTGTCATCTTTGGCAACGTTGTCTACGACGGTGCTCACTCAACGGATACAAACGTCGTCATCCTCAACGACCTCCACGTCGACATTATGGACTACATCCAGCCGGCAACATGTACCGAGACACAGTTCCGCACCATGTGGACCGAGTTTGAGTGGGAGAATAAGGTCAACATCAACTCCAAGGCCAAGTCTCTGCGCGATTTCCTCGAGCAGCTGATGGCGGCGACCAACATGAACTGCTTGACCCCCGAAGCCAGCATGAAGGGCGACTGCCAGTTCCTGAGTGCCAACCTGTACGCTCGCAGCGTATTCGGTAAGTTAACTTTCCCTGGTTCATTGGTATTCACAGCATTTGTAAGCTAACACGATTATTAGGCGAGGATGCTCTGGCCAACTTGAGTATCGAGAAGGAAGGCGAAGACGGACCGATTACCGGCTTCGTCAGAATAAGAAGCAGATCGCAGGGTCTGGCCCTGAGCTTGGGATCCCTCAAGGGTCTCAACAAGATTGGCTCAGCGGCATAAGACACCTGTCAAAGGGGTGATGAAGGGGTGAAGGGCTATATACGGAGACTGCGGTGTGTTCCACTGGCTATCTGAGGCCCACTATGGCTACAGGTGTAATGAAGAGCCAGGAAGGAGAGAGACAAGTGTTGAGTTTTCGGACGGTGTATGCCGGGGAAAAGTAAACCATGTGCTGGTGGTGGCTGGCTTGTCGACAGCGTCGAGTTGAGTTGAAATGAGAATGAACAAGGGGGAATGGGAGTCGAGAAGGAGAGACTCCCCTCTCCTTTTTCTATCTCCTTGAGGTTAGAGTAAAAAGTGCAGCCCGGTCAGGCGTCATGAGTAGGTAGAAATGAGATGTTCTTGATGTTCAACAAAATGTTTTTTTTTCCTGCAAGAAAATTGAGTGATGATGTATGAACGTGTGCATGAGGTGTCAAAGTCCAAGGTGACCATCGTCTCTACTTGTCTCTCCTACATCACACAAGGAAACAGTCATTGCAGCACATAAGAAGGCTGAAAAGATCTTGGGTAATTATTAATATTGTACCTCTCCGCAGTGACAGCCACTCATCGCTGTCCTATACCTTGGAGAAAGGCTCGCTCGTTGGATGATCGTAATGACCGCTATTAATAACTAAAAAGAGAAAGAGACCACGCACATTTGCGAGTGAAGCTCATGACGAAAAACGAACGCCTGCAATGAATTTGCTGACCAACTTCTTTTGTGCGGCAGTGGGTTTCCATCCTCCGGAACGCCTGATCGACTATAAGGGAATATGAAAAAAGAGTCCCGCACGATAATGAAAGGGGGTATTTATCCAGACTGAGGAAAGCCAGACCAAAGGAAAATCCATACCGAGGTGCGTACCCAACCAAATCGAATCGAATGTGATCGGGGTAGCGCCATGTCTGCAGCCGTGTTGCGTACGCCATGGCGATGTGATTCGTGTTTGTCGTCGTTCTTTACTGAGGAGAAGAGTGTAGATCGCGTTGCATGTCTTGAGACGACGTTCTCAGTCGGCGAACCCATGTCGTCTTAAGCCAAATGGCCGCATATCTGTCCGCCTGCGATTCTCGACGATGCTATCTGTCGAAAACGAGGGCGTTGACCACATGCCCCTCTGCCCAGCCCTGTTCAGCGAGGGAGAGATTGTCCTTAAGGATCTTGCCCATGTAGGCGATGCGAATCTTTTTGGTGCTGGCGAGCTGGGAGCTTGTTAGATGTGATCTTCTCTAGAATGAGTGGGCTGAGATGAAACTCAAGATATAAAACTTACTCCTGACTGCTCCTGGATTTTACGAGCAACAGTTCTGACGCTATCGCTCTTGACGAAGCTGACAGTGACATCGCGCGCAGTCTCGCTCAGACGGGCTAGGACGGAGAGCTGGTCCCGGGCATCGACAACGGCCTTACCCTTCTCCTCTCTCCGGCGGACGTTGTCATCCTCATCCAGCTCCTCCGTAGTCTCCTCTCCTCCCGCAAGATCGTCCTTGAGGTCTCTGGTCGAGAGCGCTTCATCGGCACCGTCAATCGTGGCATCGTCCTCTACCAAATTCGTGGGATCGGCGACAAGCCACTCAGACAGGGGATAGTAGTTGCCCAGCTGATCGTAGGCACCCTGAGCAAGATCACCTGTGGGGAGAGTGATCTCAGCCGCATTGAGAATGCCTTGCGCTGTCGCAAGACCATCGGTGCCGTCGTCAGCGGCGCCCTGGCTGACCGGGTCCCAGATAACCTCGAGGGCTGCGCGCAAAGACTGCCAGACCTCTGGGCGGCCAGTGACGCGGGTGTCGAAGAAATCTCTTCGCTCGCGGTCTATTGCGACACGGGTCCAGGCGCGACCCTTAGAAGTCCAGACGTGGCGGCGCAGAGGTTTGTTGATGTGCTTGTCGAGAGGCATACTGGAGTGGCGGCCCCGACGGCGCCCAGAGGAGGTCTGTGTTGTCTCGGCAGGGGAGTCATCGTCGCGATGAACGGAGGCGGGCGCAGAGTTGATAGCTCTCGCGGAGCCCGTGTTGGTCGGACCTGGGTAGGGGGCGTTAGAGCCCTGTGGACGGGAGAGACAGCAGCCCTATGCAAGAAGGATCGTCAGTCTGAGAACATGCGGGAGGTGGTCGGACGAGATATGCAGGTTTTGGCAGGAAGAGCGCTTGGGCGTTCGGAGTAGTGTCCGATGGCGGTATGATATAGAGACGAGAGGGAGGGGAAGTCAATATTTACCATATTGTCAACGCCTTCAGATGGAGGATGGGGTGTTCGGGACTGTATTGGCGGGGGAGATTGATTCTAGCAAGCTGTTGCGTCTCGTGCCATTGCCCGGGTTGTGATTTGCGGCTTGTTGGTGATGATCAAGAGTCGCTGTTGACCTCGAGATGAAAGACGAGTCAAGACAAGCTTTGGCTAGCTGTACTGAACAAAGATGTCAAAAGGTTGGCGGGAGCTAATTAGTGGCTTTGCCGTAGAGAGGTCGAGTGGTGAAAACGGGGGCGATGTTGAAAGAGGAGAGGAAGCGAACGAGGGCTGTTGGAAAGGTCTAGACCCTTGTGTCGTTGACGTGACGATCTGACGCTGGTTGGTCGACGAGCTGCGGCTGTCGTGTATTAAAAGGTGTGTGTGTGTGTGTGTGTGTGTGTCGTGTTGGTCCCGGACGGAGCGTGGGGAGAGCGACGGGAAGTGGTGTAGCTGAAGTCAAGAAAGGTACGTATTCGAGGGGGAGGCGTCGCGAATGGAACGAGAGCAGAGAGAAGAAGGTGGGTGGTGAGAGGGACAGAGAGCAGAGGGGAGCTCCTCAAAGACGTTGCAGGCGGCAGAAGGAGGGCAGAGGAGAAAAAGATGAAAAGTGACGAGAGAAAGTGAGGGACTGGGACTGTGTTCGGGAGGGTGGGTGAGGCACTTGGGGTCCAGTGGTGACGAAAGGAAGGATTACTGCCAAAGGTGAGGTAAGGTAGCAGGTGAGGTGAGTGGTGAGAGGTGAGATGGTGAAGGCAAGGTGAGTGTGATGAGTGAGTTTCTTGGTAGGTACCTTATCGGTGCCGTCCTTTCCTCTATGGATAGGTACCTTAGTACATCTCAAGGTAAAAATGAGAGAATGCAGCAGATGATCAGTGGTTGCAGTTCCCCGGAAGAGGATCTCGGCAGCAGGGGTGGTGCTAGTCCAGGCTTGTCCAGTGGGTTGCTGCTGTGAGACGCCTAAATTGTGCTTGTTTTTCGCTTCCCGTCCGCCTCGCTTACGAAAAGATAAGGCAAGAAAGCCGTGGACCTCGACTTTTCGTCCCTTTTCCCCCTTTTGGGCATTCCTCTCATAAGATCCGAGGCACCTTACCTTACCTTATGTATGACTTGAATGCACGCACCCGTGGGATATCTCTGGGTTCAGCATCTCCAAATCAAGACATGTTTTGCTCCTTCGAGTCTCCCGTTTGCACGTGGATTATCCTCTTTGAGAAATATTCGATAGACGCTAAGAGACAATGGATCGAGACATTGGATCGGCCCAGCCACATGGTTCTCTCTCCCCTAAGTGTCTCTCTTATCCGTACACTACTCCGTACAGACACACAAACTCCCTCCAGTGTCCACAGCTATTTTATTCCTGTAAGTCCAGCTCTTCCAGGTTTGGTCACAAGTGCCTTGGCGAGATCCATCCGAAAAGTCGGCCCAACACAGGGTCCTCCCCGGCATTCCTCAGCCCAGCCCACTCGCTTCATGCCGCAAGACTCCTCTCCCCTCCATCGGCCTTCTTTTTCACCCTCATGCTCTACGATTGGCCCTCAGTGTTGGTTGTGAGGGGATCACTCCAAAGTTCTGCTGAGCCACCATGAACTGAACGCCTGATCAACAAACACGGACAGCGGCCAACGGTAGACCGATGGAATCAGATCATGGCAGGCGCCTCTACCGGCACATCTCGATTACGCACGCGAATTAGAGACACCATCCGTAAAGGCAATTCACTAATCCATTCGCCTTTTCCTAATAGTATTCGTAGAGGTCAAAGCGGTGCTCCAATTGGCGCTTCTAGAATGGATATCGACCGGGGCCCGTCTCGTATTGCACCAATTGAGACGCCATTGCCGAGATCCCGTTGCCTGACTCCAAACCAATTTGGAAGTTTGCCTTAGTAACACATAAGATCTGCGTCTCCATCGCAACACCAGATCTGACACCTCAAATTTGCGTCCCAGGCTCAGACGCATTCATCGCGTCATGCTCCCTTCGACGTGACAACTAACATGTGCGCCGTGCACGAGTTGGACGTCAATGGGGCTATGCTTCATTTTTTCATCCAGGGCATCCCCCCTTGGCATCCCGAGTTGTCCGCCTCTTCAGACGAACCGGGCGCACCGGCCATCCCTAAAGATCCAAATTGTGGGCTCTTTGTAGGCTTGAAGCTTCATCAACCCACGGAGCCTCCGTGTCATGCCGTTTCGGCACCTGACCCAGTCTTCCTTGCCCGCTGTCTACCGGTATTTGCAATCCAGGCCCATTTTTTTGAAGCCAAACTTCCGTCCGTACCTATCAGCAAGGTTGGAGGTAAGCTCTGGAGAAGCCCGATGCCGATGACGTTGGCATCTTTCTTGATTGATGGCTTCTTGACTTCCATACCGCCGACGGTATATGGCACTTCGCGGCTAGCATCGAATTGGTATCCGACCTTCCGACAAACCAGAAGCTACAAACGCGATCGAATTCAGACAGACATCACTGATACTGAACGGCTACCACAGGAACTGGCGGCAGTTCTTGCTGCCGCAAAGACACGGGACCATGTCGCCTTGCTTGCTCTTGTCCTTCGCATCAACAGCGTCGTCGCTCACACCGTCAACGTAGTCGAACGTGAGCTGCTCTCCTCGGGGAATGTCGCGAAGCGCAAAGAAGGCGAGATCGTGAATGTGCTTGTCGGCATGGTCTCCCACGCGCGCAAAGATACGCAAATTCGGTTCGCAGGAGTGATTGATGAAGCGAGTCGGGCCGGACATGAATTCGCCATCTATCTCGAGCGGGGGGCCTTGTAGGCGCATGTCAGGGGAGTCTTCATCCGTGAACTTGTCGAGTGCGAAAAGGTACACGTCCTTCTGTTGCGCAATGTTCGAGGTATCCCGTCGGCGTTGGGCTTCCTGTGGTGTTATGATCTCGCCAATGTAGTTATCGACGAACTGTCCTCGTCGAATGTCGAGCAACGATCGAACACCTGTTGTCAGAAAGTAAGTTTCTCTCCAGGATAACAGCAGCCTCTCAGCTCAACTCACCCCAGCCCGTCTTCTCCGTCCGGAAAATCTGGAGAGGAACCTGACGACCTCTCTCGACCACCCTGTTAGGACAGGTCACGTTGCATGCGCAGCCTTCGTGGCATTCGTAAATGGGTCGCGTCGAGCCCAGGAACTTTGACCGCAGCAAACCAGCCTTGACGCCGTGCATATGGTACATGTAGGCCTTTTTTCTCGCTTCGCCCTCGTCGTCCGAGTCGTCTTCTTGCTCCTGCAGGCAGAGACAGCCCGTGTACTGGCATTCTTCCTCGTCTTCACATTCGCATCCGCTTCGGAAACTATCCTCGGCAGCTTGAACGCCGTGACCGAGCTTCGAATGCTGGAGGAATCTAAAGTTGGGCGGGATTACTTCGTCATCGACTTCGTTGACTATAGTGATTGGGTATTGTTTGTGGTTCGGGAACGCTCGTATTTGGCACCATTGGCAGTCTAGCTTTTCTCTCTCGATTGCCTGCAGTAGATTCCAGTCAGAGAAAGCTCCCATCATGTAGCAGTGTCACACCAATGATTGGGAAGTGCATTGCATTCATAGGACTTTGGGATACCTTACCCTGAGGGCGGTCTTGGTCGTGCCAGGCTTCGGAGCGCCATGGTGAAAGAAGTGGCGCTCAGTTGCCGCCTCCATGTTGTGCGCTATTGTGTATTCGTAATGGCTCGGAAATGTTCAACGGCATCCCGAGAGTGACGGAGAGGGAATGTGTAAGTAGGTGGTGGTGTTCGCAGCTCAGGTTGTCCATGGTCGGAGTCCATGGTCGGAGCTGGAACCGCGGGGCAACTTGACCATCGGCGGCAGGAACCACCGACCACTTTACGCGACGCGTCCAAGCTCCCTGCTCTGCTGACTCAGCTGCCACCCGGGTGCCGCGTTCGGCGATCGGGAGTCTTCTCCGGCCGGGAACCTTCTTCTCCCTTCTCTCACTCCTTGCATTTCTACATCTTCATCTTTCCCCGAGATAGTCACGATGCCTGATCAAACAGGATGGTCTACGGACATGCCAACAGAGCGACATATCAGAGAGAATAACAAACTCGACGCATGAAAGTGGACTACAATATTCTAGACGACTTACACATTCCTGGGCCTGTTCTTGCACTGAGGCTTGAACGTAGACCCAAGCTCGCCCCATTTGATATTGCTGAACGTCACAACCGGGTTCGGCTCAACCTTGACAACATTCTCCGGGAATCCTTCCGTCTCATTGCATGGCCCGGCTTCCGGCGCACCGTCCAGCCACCTCATCCCGCCGCCGGCATCCCACCAGATGCTAAACGCAAGCACCACGCCCCGGTCAAACGACTCGCCCATCTCCCGGTGCGCGCCGAGATCCATGAATCGCCGCGAGCCCGTCGCCGCGCAGAACTCGTCGTTGAGGTAGTTGACCTGCGGTAGATCCGTGTTGTTGACGACCTCGCTGCGGATCAGGTGGCCGTCTTGGATGTAGAGGCGGTGGATCTCGGTGAGGACGCCAGCTTCGTTGGCGGGGAACTGTGTGATGACTGTGAAGGGGCGTGTGGTATCGACATCGAATCCTGAGCCGCGGCCGTAGTAGTCATCTTGGTTGACTCTGTTTCGCGGGTTAGGTTCTGTTCAACACTATTGGGCTGCAAAGCTGGTCACTTACCGGTACGGGTTCCAGGCGCAACCGTTCTTGTCGCAGACGCCTTCAAAGGCACAGTCTTCGCCCTCGCAGAGATAGACACCAGTCTGGTTGCACGGGTGCGGCGCCAGATGAGCAGAACGCGAGTTGGCCTCCCAGATGTCCTGTGACAACGTGTTAATTACTTCTTGAGGGCCCGTACACGATCCGAGGACAGAAAACTCACCATCTCATTGCAGCATGCACCGTATCCTTCAATGTTAGCTTCACCGTTGATAAACGGCGTAGTGTAACACTGAGCATCACAGTATCCCGTGCCATGACGGGCGCCACCGGTATTGAGCGCGCTCTTCCCACCGTCGGCTTCCATTTCGGAAGTATACAGGGCACTATTCATGCCACACGGCAACTTCGATACATCGACGTCAAACGTAAACTCCTTGCCCGTCAGGTGCATCATCTCATACTGCTCCTTGGAAGGGTCAAGGAGATACACGCGCGGAGACACCTGCACGCCATCCTTAAGCTGGTACATAGTCATGGCGCCGCCGTTTGTCGTCACGCCGACACGGCTATAGTCGTCGAGACCCTCCTGGACACAGTTCTCGGCGCATGCCTCCTTGGTCGGGCACGCCGTTTCGTTGGGCGGGCTGCCCCAGGAGCCACAGCTTCCACCACCGTTGGCCTGGTAGACGTTGTGCGCGAGGGAGTCGAGGACGATGAAGTTGTTGACTTCAGTGCAGCCGCCAGCCTTGGTACAGCGCCATGTCGTGAGTGGAGGGTGGTTCTCTTCGGGCCCGATCTGACGCTGGGCCGCTGCCAGGGCTATGAAGAGAGTGGCAAGGCCCAAGCGGGAGAGAGAAGAGGCCATCATGACTGGGAAGCCGTGGTGAGTTCCGAAAGAGAGAGAATGCGACGATTGCGCCGTTAGACAGAACAGCACGCGCCTCGACCAAAGAGTCGGGAGAAGGAGGTCTTCATATGTGTTCAGACATCTCTGTCCAACTTAACCATGGCTATCGGGTCTCTTCCCGTTTACCCATTCAGAACTCGCTCAGGGGTGTATTGGCAACGGAACACGCTCTCCAGGGAGCCAACTTTCCGTGATTGAGCTCTATTCCTTCTTCCTGTTCCGTCTTGTTCCTCTTGAGGCGAAGGAAGGTCACCCTCCGAAGCCTTTGTCTGGCCGTCTGGGCGCTGTGCCATTGATAGCCGACAAGGGTTCGCAGCTTTGATTCAAAGGTTATCCGCCACGAGGTAAGTTGAAAACAGGCCTAGTCCCATGCTAAATATGCTTGGGTAGTCAAACATTCATTATCATCCAGCTCCCTTCCCTCATTGCTTCACGGTAGAACGGGCCAGGAACCGTGCATGGGGGGCAGATCTGGCCGCTCGCTTGAATACGACTCTACCCTCCTCTTCCATCTTTGTGCAGATGAACCTGCATTGGTAGATTGCTCGACTTGATGAACCATCCAGTCAGATCGCCCTTTAGAAGTCCGTCGATTAGCCGACTACCGTTCCTGGCAGGGGTGGCATTTATACCGGTCTTTCAGTCATCTTACTCATTGTGTTTGTTGGAGTCTACAAGTACCTAGAGATGAGCAGAAAGCGGGGAGAACTAGAATTAAGGATGGCTGCTTGCGCTCGACTACCCCATTTCTCCGCGTGAAGCAGTTACAGGGGTGTTCGACCAGGGTTAGTGAAGCGATCCATCTTGGACAGTCAAAGAGGGGGGACAGCTCTTCCGGTTCGGAATCTGGCCCTCTGGGATGGATGCCAAGCTATTCTGCGCCCGTAGCAGAGAGACATGCCACGCAACCTATTTCTCACCATGAGTCTTCAGTCTTGGTGCTGTTATAGGGGAAAAATTCGTGAGCTCAGCCTGGGATCGTAAATATTGGCCATCATCTGTGGCCTCATTGTGGAGATGTCAAATATCGCTATCACCAGCGCCAGGCAGCAAGATGTTGTCGGAAGATGATTCGTGAGTTGCGTCTTACTTGCATACATCAGTCCACAATATTGCCAGAAGGGGTTGAAGAAGGACCAAATCCCTGGAATAACAGAGTTCAAGACTGTTGCGTCAAGCAATACTAAAGCGAGGTATGAACGAGGTTTTGTCGAGATAATGCGACTTCTTCATATCTCATGACCCAGTGTCTTGAGCAAAAGAGGGCAGAAAATCCCTCATTTGAACGACAGCAAGTGAACGTAGTCCGGTCAACGACGGCAACATCAATTTCAACTGACAATAGGTATAGACGAACGAGTCAAGATTCTTCGCAGACACTCACTGCTCGAGACGTAGTAGTAGTAGCAATGGGGTCACCAACCACCGACATCACCTCCAAACTCACCGAATGGCACGAGGAATGGTCCAGCGAACAGACCGACAACGACATTTGCACTGCTTACGTCTTCTCCCCTGAGTGGGAGTCTCTAGTTCCCCCTCGATGGGCCACATACGATGACCTGGAAAAGAGACGCCTGGCCGAGGGAGCACCGCAACTAGGATGGCAGGACTCAGTTGACCAAAGCCGAAAGGCGTTGTCGGCCTTGAAGAACTTGCACTTCAAGCCCCTCGAACCTAGGCTGTGGCCGGTATGCCCGCTCTGGGTTCATCTAGCCAGATACAAGGGAGGGCCAGACTTCGATGCTCATAAGAGACTGCACGGCTGGGCCTCGCTCCTCGATGACTGGGAGGAAATTCAACGGTTGATTCGAGATGAGCCTGAGTTCTGCGGCTCACTTTCGCCTGCCCAAAGAAGATCGTTTGATCTTCTCCAGTACTGGTGGAAGGCGGCTTATTGCGACGCAGAGCTATTGAGTGCCACCACTACGCGTCTCGAAAAGAACCGACCCTTTTGGACGATATCGGATCCCTCCGATGCATACGATCTTCGTCGCATCGCCAGCGAAGTCAAGACGGACACCTTACTCTACCACTCGCATCTATTCAGGCTCTTCCTCTTCGAATTCCACCCGATGTTTTGGGAGCCTTTCCTCTGCCATATGAAGCTTTCTAGACTTCAGCATGCCCGGTATCGATCTTCATGTATTGCGACCATCCAGAAACTTTCTTACCCAGTGTTACATCCAAGCCATCCTCCTGCTGGTGAGCAGGTTCCGTATCCTATCGTTGTTCAGAATGATGCGGAACACCAGAGAATCACTGCTGCCCAAGCGAGCATCAACCCCTACTATCTTTGGGACAACGAAAGTCAGCAGACAGTCACCGTGGAGGAGCTGCCCGAGTGCCCTCCATACGTATGTATCAGCCACACGTGGGGTCGCTGGCGAACACGAACCGACACGACTGTTCCTGGAGTGCCGTGGCTGGTCCCAGAAAACACCATATATGATGTACGCGATCTTCCAGGACAGCTCAAGGAACTTGGCTACCGCTATATCTGGTTCGACCTATTCTGTATTCCGCAGGACAAGAGCGATCCGAGGGCCGCCCAGGAGATTGCGAACCAAGCGTCAATCTTCAAAGGATCAAGCCACTGCATCGCCTGGATCAACGACGTCGAGTCCTGGCATGGCGTGCTAGCCGCATTAGACTGGATGAGCCTCAAGTCGCAGTCAATCCTGTCGAACCGTGACACCGACGCAATCAAAGACAAAATAGCCGAAGCAACGCAGGCGGCTACGGTGGCGATGGAGCTGCTTAAGAAAAAGCGCCGTGAAGGAATGGAAGACCTACCCGACCTTGTTGACGACCTTACGGCAGGCGAGCCAACCTTTTGGATGTCCTCACTTTGGACTTTGCAGGAGTGCATTCTCTGCCCTGAGATCCAGCTGTATACCCGCACCTGGACCAGGCTGGAAGATCGGAGCGGGACGGCAATTTCGTTGAGAACCCTCATGGTGGTCCTCAGAGACACTCGAGATTTCAACATGCTGCCAGAGCCTATCGCAACCTCCTTCAGCGAGCCCCTTCAGTACGATGTGAAACTCGTGAATGATCCGAACAGGAAGACCATTCAAGACAGCGCCAGCGACCGGACGTTTCCAAGTGCAGTCAGGGACCTCTACCAACTCTGCATAATGACCCGGCTTGACAACGCTCTCACCGCCGGCTCACCCACAACGATCCTTACAAATGCGAACCTTCGACACTGCTCATCCAGCCGCGCTCCAGCCATCATGTCGGCCGTGAGCGTCACGGACTGGTACGTCGAGAAGCTGGAGGCCTCAAAGTCCACCGGCAAGCCTGCGCCGGCGGACCCCATGGTCTACGGAACCTACCCGCTCGCCTTCCTCCGTGAATGCTCGCGGAAGTTTGGAGCAATCTTTTACCAGAGCATGGCCAGGAATCTCGTTCGTTCCACGGGCACGGCCAACGAAATGCGCCGGGTTCTGAAGCGGAACGAGTCTGGTGGGACCATGCTACCCGTGTCCAAGACCACAGGCTGGTATGCCGGTATCTCGGGATCCTCTGACCATACCTATCTTGATCGTAAGGATCACGAGACCGTGGCAGGTTGGCTTATCAACGAGGACGCGAGCGTTTCTATGCGCGCGGTAGGCATCGCCTTGACGTCGGATGACAAGCCGGGGCCGCGCAAGTTATCGGGCAGCATTGACTGCTTTCTACCTCAGGACGACGTGAAAGCGGACATGGAATCGAAGAGATACACGGCGAAAGTTCAGGACATGCTGGCGACGCTAAAGGACTTGAGTAATGGGTCGAGGCGAATCTATGCGGTTGCGCTCTATGAGGACTTGGGCCTCGTACACGGCGTTTTGCTGGAGAAGTTACCTTTGTCCATGTTTGGGAAACACTATCTCAACAAGATTGGTCAATTCTTTTTGAAGAATGAGTCTCTTCCTCCGACTTCAAGAGTCGATTGGAAGGTGTTGTAGAGGCCGCACAATATTCGTGACTTGCACATGTTACGGGCTGGCTAAGATTGTAAGATACACGGTCGGAACTCATGTATCTCAAAGAGTTTGTTGTTTCTTCTCTCATGTGGAAGACTTATGAAAAACTAGGAAGTTAACGTATGCGTGTTCCTCTTTACCCAAGAATCTTCCTGTCATTTATCGACACCACACCCTTAAATACCTTCCAAAATCTCTTGCACCCTCTTCCTCCCCTCCTTGACCGACGTAACCTCCTCTATCCGCAGCGTAGCCTCAACACACGCCTTCTCACCAGCCAACACAACCTTGAAGTCCTTCACAAGTGCAGCCGCCACCGCCTCCTCCGTCCGCGAAGTGCCCTCCCACCCAAAAAGACGCACAAGATGCATAACCAAGACGCTCCACAGCTGTTGACCCAGCCAGAGGTACTGCATAGGCTCGTTCATCCACGACAGCAATAGCAGTCCCGCAGGGAAGTAGAGAACAAAGGCGTATACGGTCATTATGCTAGCCACCTCTCTTGCACGGTCGAGGGCGCTGTCGCGAATCGGGTGACCGTAATGACGGAAGAACTGAAAGCTTGCCGGGGAGGCTGGCGAGGGGGTCGAGATCAGGAGGAAGCCGATGGAGGGCACCTCGACTTCGAAAATTTCTGTCTCCTGATGATGGGATGGGGACGCGGTGATAAGGTCGTTCTTGGTGATTGGAGCTTCGGCTGCTGGTGAAGATGGAGCTGTCACGTTTAGGGTCGACGATTCGGGTGAGGCTTCGTCGTGTATCAAGCTCTCTCGACGAACGCGTGCCACCGCGGCGAAAAGCTTCAGGAAGAGAGGGATGCACAGGAAGCCGATGAACCACTTTGATGGGGCGTCCTGTCCGTCTCTGCGGTGGGTTGACCATATTCCTGCAGCGACTGCAAGCAGAATTGAGGATAGCTCTGATACAATGATCCCCAGCAATGTTCTGAACCCGAAGTTCTCGTGAAAGGTCTTGAGTTGTGGAGACACCTCGCTTCCTTGAGGGGATTGGAAGTCCAGATCAAGACGGTATATCCGCCTTGTAGTCCTGACCGTATCTGCCGGCCCCTCACTTCCCTCCTTCAGTCGCACAATATCCGGGACCGGCGCCGGATCGGCCCCGGTCCAAGACCCGCCTAGACCGATGCGATCGTCAACATGCTTCAAAACCTCAATCCAGAAGCCATTCCGCACGGCCCGTGGCAGCTTCCGGCCTTCCGGGGTGGTTGCCGTTTTGTGGAGGTAATGGACGCTGGCTTTGTCTGAAAAGAAGGTGGTCCCCAGCATGTCGCCCCGCCGGCGACCCTTGTACAGACCGTGATCGCGGAACTTATCCAGCGCCTCGAGGGCTGCGCGGTGGAGGGGCCCGCCCATGGGCATGAAGAGGGCCAGGCGGATGAGCGCGATGGCGTCGACGGCGTTGTAGAAGCGTTCCGGCCATAAGAGGTGTTCGAAGAGGCTTATGCCCGCGACTTCGGCGCCTAGGTAACCCAAGACTGCGCCGAGGGCCGATGATGTTGCTGACATTTCCTCGTTGATGTTATCACTACCTAGTATGTGGTCACGATGACGGGATCTTGGGTATGTTTGATGAGGTAAGAGAAAAGAAGAGCTGAAGGGGCTATTGAGTGGACTTCAACTCGCCTTTTAACATGGATGATTTCCGGTTTGCTCAACTTGATTCCTTCTCTTATTCAAAGCAAGAGTCGATGCTCCATGAGGTTGGTTTGCCTTACTGACATTTGGGGAAGCTGATGTGATACCGCGTCCTGCACCAGACCCTGGTCTGCATGTCAGATTTGTCTGCTCATTCGTCCCAGGAGCGAGCCGTGGGGCTTGACGCACATGAAGTGTAATAAGTACTGCAGGTCATTGCTGCTTACGTCTGACATTCTTCGCAACGTAATTATGCCTCATTTGGGACTTTGGTCTTCCTCTTCGCTCAATGAAGCGATTTTAGGAAGATTTCTGCCTCGCCGAGAGCCTCACAACTTTGCTACACAACACCTTTTGGGGGTTGTTGATGAAGTACGCCGACATCGGGAATACACCACTCCCAGTCACTAATACTCTACCGATATGGTAAGTGCAGCTCGGCGACGGATTCGTAAATCATTAATAGCGATGGTCATTGACATGTGTGACATTCAGGATAAGTTAACTGCCTTGGAAGACATCGACGACTTCTGGCCGCGGTTAACTGCCTCAGAAAACGCCGATGACTACTGGCCCCGGCGACTACTACACATACCAACACTGACATCAGTGCGGAGAGACGAGCGCAACGTCTATGGAACAACGGAGAAGCCAAAGTACAGCATCCTTACTTACACTTGGGGCCGCTGGAAAATCAGGCATGACGACCATGCCGTCCCTGCTTTGCCTGTGAAGGGCGTCCCATGGAAGATCCCCTCAATAAAAGAGTCTCACTTCACGGTGGACTCGTTCCGGGCCGTCATTGATTCCATGGCGTTCGAGGACGTTGAATGGGCATGGGTTGATATCGCTTGCATAGACCAAGAAGACGAGATCATGAACGCGGAAGAGGTCGGCCACCAGGTTGCCATTTTCGACAAGGCAGTCAAAGTGCATGTTTGGCTATGTGAGGCAACCCAGGAGAGTCTCACTAAGGCGTTCTGCGACATGAACGACGGCCAATTGGAATCCATCACTTTCAGTACCTTCAGCACATTAGAGAACCAGCTCATGCCCTCGTACATGACATGGGAAGACGTTCGCCACCAGGAGTACAGGATGACAGCCGTACGCGAGACTATCGACCGTATTAGTTCTGGACTGCAGACCGTACTCAACGATCCCTGGTTCTCATCTCTATGGACCTTGCAGGAGGCCGTGTTGCGCAATGATGCTGTGATCTTGAGCGCAGAGGGGCTTCCCTGTGTTTGGATCACGTCCGATGACGGTAGAAAGTATCAAGCATATTTTGCAATGTTTGTCAACTTTTGCAACAACATCTACTTGGATGTCGTCAATATACTACGAGGCCTTGAATACCACGGACAGATGGGCTACACCTTACTGGACTGGGAGGTAGACATTAAGACCAAGATTGAAAAGACGCAATCACTTCTTATCCGTTCCGGCATGTACAACTTGCCTACATCGAACCCCAACATCCCTTACAGCATGGCGTGGTCTAGGCAGACCTCAAGACCGGTAGACCGCATTTATAGTATTATGCAAGCCTACAACCTGCGTGTGGGCAAGGTCATTCGGCCGCATGATAACCCTTCCCTGGCAGATCTCGTCCAAGAATTCGCCTTGGCAATAGTAAACAAAAATCCCGTTCTCAGCCAGCTGTTTGTTCATACAGAAAAGCCTGCCGAGTCACTAAGCTGGCGCATTACGGAAAACTCGTTCGTACCAGCCAATTTCAGATCGCCAAAAGGCTACGTTGTAAAAGCTCGGTTTTATCTCCAGGGACGAAATGTCATGAGGGCACGCGGTCGAGTTTGCCGCTTGACTGATGCCCTTGAAGTGCAAGATAAACTGGTTCAATTCCTCAAGGAAACAGATACGTCCGAATATGCAAAATTCAAAGATGTGGACCACGAAAACGACCGTATCAGAATCATGACAGATGCCGGATTCACACAAGAGCATCTGAACCTCAACGGCTACTTGTGGCAGCTCGATTTACCGGGGTTCCGTTGGCTGTTTCCTCAGAAAGCTAATTTGCCATTGGTTCTCCGCGACTTATGGGTTTTCCACGTAGGAGATATTGACTCAACTCGAGGAGAGCTTTTGAATATCCCTGAGAGCATAGCTGTGCTGCTTCATCCCGCAAAACAGCCAACCGATTCAAGCAGTGTCAGTAGCGAATGGGCGGACGTTCCTTACATGCGGGTTGGACTTTGCACCTGGGGTCCAAAGGAGGAGGAAGGGAAACGCACGATGAACGAAGACATCGACTGGAAGTCTGTGGATTTTGAGTTCCACTAGAGCTCTCAACTATTTTTAATTGTTTTCGTTTTATCGCATCGATGGATGATTCAATGGAGCTCTTCTATCCTACAAGTTGCTAAGGTAGATGGCGTTGGTACATATTTGCTCACGAACATACTTTCCTGACGGGCAGCGCCGAAATATGTATCTGTCCGACCGTTTCGCTTGTATCCGCCTATAAATAAGTCCGAAATGAAGTAGAACTTGAGCGAAGACTGAGGCTGAAGGTAGTGACTCCGGTGAAGCCCATAGTGGATGTTACAATGAAGAGAAGCCGTCGATTTGTAATTTTACGATTCCACGCTGTTTGTAGCTCATGCATCTCGACCCGACATGATAGACAAGTCACGTCGCCTCTGGAATCATTGAAACTCAATCTAATTATCTTTCAATCCTTCTCATAATTGCTGGCTTTCTTTGCAATCATTGGTAATGTGTCTTGATGACATCAACAATCACACCGTGATCCTCATCCTGCTTCAAACCACTGACAACCACAACAGCTACAACGCCCTCAACTCCTTGCACACGGATGGGCACGCCGCCACCGTGAATGGCGTACTTTCCAGCCTGTTCCGTGCTCATACCAAACTTTGAGGCAAAGAGCTGCTCATCGCCGCCCAGCTTGTTGTGAAGTAGCCAGGTGCTGCAGCCCCATCGGAGCACGGCATTGCGCTTGCGCTGCACCCACGTCTCGTTGTCGGGAAGAGAGCCGGATCCGACGGCCGTCTGGAAGAGCACCTGTTGGCTGTTTGCCAGTGCGATCGAGATGACTGTGGGCTTCTTATTGACGAGGGCGAAGGGGAGAAGCCGGGCATGAAGGAAATGTCCTAGTTCAAATGCATCCTCATATGTGAAGGACTGAAAGGTGATGGAATCACACTCTTGTTGAATCAACTCGACCTGCAAACTTATTAGAAATCTGCTACTGCCTCTTGTCGTTGTGCTGGCTTATGCTGCTCTGGGGTAAAACTCACGTCGCGAGTCGGCGAAGGGATCGGAGTCGGAGCGGCGGCA